TATTTAAATCATCTGTCGAAAAGCTTCTTTTGTTTCCAGCTGTATTCTTAGATCGATCGTTCATCCCAACCTAAACTCTTGCCGTAAATGCTTGGCCACTTAAATCCGACCCATCTTAGAATATGCTTCTATTGTTCGGTCTCCCCGTTTACAAGTCTCGATTGAACGTTTGGAGAAAATTCAGAGAAGGTTCACAAAAATAGCTTGATGGAAAATTAACTATTCCAAATATTCTAGCTTGATTTATGAGGATAGACTTGCCCTTTTTGAACTAAAAACTTTATAACATCGTCGCTTTGTGATTGATCTTGTCGAAGCTTTCAAAATCCTGCGTTACAAACGGATTTTTTGTTTGTTGTTTGACATTGTTTGTTGACTTTTTCAAATTTAAACCGAGGTCAGAGTCCAGAAGTGGTTCATTCCTTTTGCAGATCCCCTTTGCGTTTAATATTTCTTTTTCAAACTCATTTCCCGTTAGAGCCGCTAGGTTGTGGAGCTTGTCCCCAAATTACATACGAGAAATTCTGTCACTTTTCATTCTTGAGAAACGAATCGATGCTCCAGATCTAACGGCTCTCTCTCGTAGGTAGTCTTTGCGTATTCACTATATATTGTATTTTCACTCTGTTTTTTATCTTCGGATCTTTCTTTTGTCTCTACATTTATGGCTCGCCATTCATTTCTCTAGGATTTATTGTGCTTCACTTTATCATCTGAATAAAGTACCATTATTATTTTTCTATAACATTATTGCTTCTTAGGAATCCACGTAAAGTGCTTTAAAGATATTGCTTAGATTTAGCTTGATCATTCATTCATTTAATAAGTTCGAATTTGAATAGAATTAATTTTTTTCTTCAGTTTCTACGATTTTCCTCTTCGTGCGTTCAATAAATCATTTTGTCACTTTGGTTATTTCTACACGAAATTTCATCAAAAATTCTATTACTACACCAACCTGCCGATAATTTGGTTTTAAAGAGAAATCGGTCCCAAGTCGGACCCTTCCTTTATGGTGGGCTTACCACATAAAAGCAAACATTGACAAACAGCTTCTCAGAAACTACAGTAAACTAGCGCATTTTGCTGTACCTAACTACTTCAGAAGCTAAAGTGCGCTTTTTAGTTAGAATGACATACAGACAAACCAGATCATTATTGTTCACTCACAAAATTAGAAGCAAAATTTTCGATTTTTGATAGGTGATTTTTGTCTCAGCAAGACAGACCTCAAAGAACCCTTTAAAGCATTCAAAATTTTGGTTCACTCTGAACATCCACCGAACTCTCAAGTACAGTTTGATGAGTCATCGAGCCAAGCGAATGCAGACCGATCTTTTAAAAGCATTGATTGCACAGGTTAGCCAGATCTTTACCAGAAAATGACTAGTTTTACTGTAATAATTTCCAGACAGCATGCCCATTCATCCTCGAAGGAGCCCCATGTATTCAATGTACCATTTGTGGCTTTTTCGGGATTTACGTCGGATCGTGGTGAGCTTCAATTTCTCAGAAAGTCTAAGATCTCTTAAACATCGATCTTTAAAGTCTGGTTACTAATTTAATCATGAATAATGGACAGGAAAAGCAAAAATTCAGGCAAAACTACGGCTTTGTCTTTGTTTCGTCTTATCCTCTTATGGATGCATTTTCAATGACATATTTCATTCGAGATTATCGACGAGCTGTCATCGATAAATGGTTGGTTTTAGTTTTTGCTAGGATTGGACTTTATTTCAGCAAAAACTCTATCAAATCCAAGTCCAGAATAAACAAATAAGTTCTTTATCAGCTTCTTACGGTCGTTTTCGAAAAATAAGCAATTCTAACACTGCAAAAAGTCTATCAAACATCAAACAAATCACTTTTATTAACAATATTTTCAGGAAACAAACATTTTCATCAGCTTCTGTGGAAAGCATTGACGAATTCACGCCACCAAAAGCTCTATATTTAGCTTCTTGATTCTATCTTGATCTTGATCAACTTTATTTCCTGATTCCATCATGATCAGCTTTATTTTACAAAACTTTAAAGGCTGAATGGATACGGGATCGTCGAGCCGAGAAGAAACGAGTGACACGCCGGATTATCTGGAATGAAGCGGCCAATCGATTCGAAAAGGCTGAAATTTCTTTCAAAAGAAGCCATGGCTGGATGGAGTCGTTCTTGAGGCGCCACCAACTTTCTTTGAGGGCACCAACAACAACTTGTCAAAAGCTGCCAAGCGAATTTGAGAAGGTCATCGTCGAGCACATTCTGAGGCTGAACAAGACAATCAAAGATTACAAGCACATTGTTGCTTGCGATGAGACGGCGGTTTGGCTGGATGCTTCGACGAGCAAGTGCATCGAAGCGATTGGAGCCAAAGAAGTTGGTGTTCTCACCCGCGGCTACGACAAAATGAATATATCCGTGATGCTCACTGCTCGTTCCGATGGGAAAAAGTTGCGCCCTTTTGTCGTGGTGCCTCGAAAAACGATGAACAAAAAAATCGAGACAAAGTTTCAATCGAAGTTATTGCTCTGTTGGAAAGAGAAAAAAAACAAGTGCTTCGATAATGGAATCACGGCGGAATACTTGCAACGCTCTTTCGGTAGACTTGGATTCTTCAATAAAAAGGAACGATCACTCCTTGTTTGGGATCAACACCCTGCCCACAAAAGTGAATCGACAAAGGAATGTCTAGAGAAGTTGAAGGTGGATTGTGCCTATATTCCCGGTGGCACCACAAAATATCTTCAGCCAGCCGACGTTTCATGGAATGCCCCATTCAAGGCCTACATTCGCCAGCAATACGAGGATTGGATCTTGATATCCGCTCCCGATTTGACGCGATCACGAAAAGACGGCAGCGGCGGCGGGAACCCCAAGTCTCCATCAATGGAAATCTACTTGGGTTGGATCCTGGAAGCGTGGGGGCGAATCACCGAAGACATGATTCGAAAATCATTTAAGGCTTGTGGGATCGGCATTGACTTAAATGGAGATGAGGATGATTTGATTAATTATTTCAAGCCGGATGGACCGATTCCTACAGGATTGCAGGTTCGATTTATTAATTTAATTATCTTTGTAATTATCGATTTAATCGATTCAATTATCTTTAATCTATTGTACTTACAGGCGATGAGAAATGCTCGGACAGAGACGGAAATCGAGGACCTCTTGGAGCCGCTCGCATCGACGGGATTTCAAGGACATCGAGGAATTGATGATCAAGAAAATGATGAATTCATTGATTCGGATGTTTCCATTGATTTTGTTTGTTAGTTGTTTTTGTTTTTTGCTGTTAAATTTTTTAAATGGTTAAAACCAATAAAAACTAAAGAAAAAGTTTGTTTTTGAACAAATTATTTGAATGTATCCTGATTTGGTAACTTGAATAGTGGTGTAAAATAGTAACCCACCCTCTAATAGTGCCCCACCCTCTAATAGTACCCCACCCTAGAGGGGGAGGGAAAAAAATAGTACCCCATGGGGTCCAATTACAGTATTTACGGTAAGTGATATGTGTAATCGTTTTTTAACGAGTCTCATCCTAAAAGAAGACAAGATAAGACATTCACTTGAAGTTTTTAAAAATGAAACCCCTCTTTTTTCTAACATTTCTTTTCGTTCTTTCTTCATCATGTCCGTCTGGATGGAGTGAATTTCCGAATGAGAATGTTTGCGTTTACATGATAAAAACTCGTGAGTATTAGCTTGGAATTATTGAAAATAGTAATGAAATTTGTTAATCATTTCATTACAGCTCAATATTATTGGGAAACCGTGCATGATTGTGCCCAAATGGGCGCAAATGTGGTCAAAATTGGGAACATTTTCGAGGATGCTTACATCGGTGCGATGATCCCAGGTTGAATAGTGTAATCAATGTACCCGTCTGCAAAGTTTTGCCGATAAACTACGTCGAATCAATCTAGGCTTGCTTTCTCATTTTTCAAAACCAAAAAATTGAAAAGATAGCTTCTCTGACGTTAAAGATTTACATTCAGAATTTAACGGTCAACTCCCATTCATCGGTGTTGAGAGAAATGGTGATGGAGCATGGGTTTATCAAGATGGAACACGACTCATCTATGCGAATTGGGCTCCAGGTTGGCTGTGAAATGAAATTGAAGATTTAATGGAACTTTTTAGGTGAACCTCGATCCGGTTCATCGTTGAACTGTGCCATGATGAGTTCAACAAATCTCCAATGGCAAGCTGTTGATTGCTCGACTCTAAATCCATCTTTTTGCTCATCCTATGATTCTGGTCAGTTGGAACAGTTGTTAGTTTGATTTGCAATCTTTTTCCGAGAAAATTCTGGGTTGGCGCTTTAAAGCGTGGTAAAACTACCGTACCCCTTCTAATTTACGCGAAATTTCTTTTTTTTTATTTTTGTTTATTTCATTTTATTCGTTTTGCGTTTTTCTGATGTGGTCGAGTTTGTTTTTTGCGGGAAACAAAGAAAATAAAGTTAAGTTACGTTTTTAACAGCATTTTCTGTGGCGGAAGCTCTGTTTATAGTTTTTTTAGATCCGCTTGCTTCCTGACGATCTACTGCGCGAACTTGATGCCAACTAATGTTAAGTTAAGTGGTTTTTATCATTTTCTATGGCGGAAGCTTTGTTTTTGTGACTTTTTAGTTGAAAAAGCGTTGAAACATTGAAAAAACGCAAAAAAGAATGAAAGATTGAAGAAAACGAAAAAAAAGAATAAAATGAAATGAACAAGAATGAAAAAAAATGAAATTTCCCGCAAATTGGAGGGGTACGGTAGTTTTACCACACTTTAAAGCGCCAACCCAGGATTTTCTCGGAAAAAGGTCGCAAGTGTTAGTTTGTGATTTTACTTTTGATCAAAGGAGACAATTTGACCGTACTCTTGCAGGAAGCACGCAATCAATCGCCACTTCACAATCACCAAGAAGCACCCCTCCCAGCAGAGGAACAACGACTGTACCCTACTGCAGCTCTTCTTTGTATTGCAAAAGTCAAGGAGTCTGTAAGGTGAGTTGTTGAGTTGGGCTTGCTAATCTCAATCTAGCTCTCGTCCGATGGCATCCCCACCTGTATTTGCTATGGAAATCTGGATCCAAAAGAGGGATGCGTGACAAGTGGGTTCCAGAGCAACTTTCCCAGTCAGAGCCAGAAGCCAGGCCAGAGTTTGGCTGGATCTAATGGCCCGCTAATAGCCTGGACTAGGACTAGGACACATATGAACAACTATTGCGTTTAATGTAATTCACTGTGAATGAGATCTTGATATGAATGAGATCTTGATACTGGTACTCTTGATTGGAAGCTGAACTTGAAATTCTTGGTATTGGTTGCTAGTAGATTGTTCTTGGCCTGCCCTGGTTTTGACTCAGCCTTACAAAATTTAGTCTTTGGTGAATCAATCTTGGCCTACCAACCTAGACAACTTTGTTAAGGCACTTGCACTCCACCTGGACAATCGATCCCACAAGATGTGCCTGACAGCTTGACTGGAACTTACCTTGTTTCCCCCGGTTGGGATTATCGGCTCTTTGACGATTACGGCGGGCAAGGTTACAACGGAACTTACAATTGTGAGTGGAAATTGAGAACGAAATCCGGAGTAATTATGCAACTTGTGAGTTCCCGAGAAGCCAAACTTGTTTATTAATGTTTTCAGTATCCGGGACCACGACCACCATTTCAAAACATGGACCCTAATGCAAGAATAACAATCAAAAACGGAGGATTCTCTTAGTTATCATTTTTTCTAGTGTACAATTTTTCAAAATCGTTTTTAGTACGGCCATGTCATCAACGACGGCTGCTCAGTTCAATGCGGCTTTGAAAATGTGCAATTCGGATATTGTCACTCAATTCACTTTTGAGACAAGCGTCTTCGCGCGGCAAAATGATAATTTTGTGAGTTAAACTGATTTTCTGCATTTGCTGATCATTCTTGATCACCCTTGGCCTAATAAAGGCCTAATAAAAGGCCTAATAAAAGATAATAATAGAATCATTTTCTATCAAAATTTCTTTATCTCTCTTTTTCAGTGGTTTGACGTCAGTCTCGTTCTCGCTATCGGCGATGAGCTTAAAGGGAAAAAGTGAATGCCAAACAAAATCTATGTTTTTGCTGTCAACACCAAGATAAACCTTTGACAAATTTGCAAATGTAAATGCAATGAGCCGGCTTTGTCGTTGCGTCTCACTATGCCCAAATTCTTGAGAAGAATTTTTGAATTAAATTTTTCTACACTCTCCTACAAATTCCTGTAGACGTTTCAGCGAACATTTCTGTCTATAGCACATCAAAATTCATGTACAGAGTTCAAATCATTGATCAATGATAAATGGGTTTTTATTTAAAAACATCACTTTTTGGAAATGATAAGAGTTGTCGCTTGTTTCGACGTGTTACTCATCCCAATTTTTTGTTGACCAAAATTACATAAAGAAAAGAACTTCTTGAGAACCGGCTGACGATACTAAAATGAGAAAATTTGATCTTTCTCATCTCTTTTATGAAATCTCACCTCTTTTATGCAAATGATGACAATCCATGCGGTAAAAGTCGCATAAAAGTTTGTGCCCAATTTGAAGAGCAATTGAAAGATTTGAATCGGAATCCCAGGCCATTTCCAGGAGCGATTCTCATATTGGAGAATATCGTAGAGATTGGGAAGTGAAGAAATGAGGCCAGCTGGGGAAATTTCGTTAGATCAAGTGTTTTAGTATCGAATTTTCAGAAAATAACCGTTTCCTAGGGAACTGGTTCAAGAAAGCAAGTCTCGGACCGTTCCGAAGCCTTTTTTCGAACTTTAAAAAGTAATCTTAGGCTCTTAATCAGTTAATTTCTGGGTACCGGCTTGAATAGCTTTTTTTACTGTTTATTTGGACTCATTTGTTTTGATCTAACTTATGATCTTTGCACTACAAATTCCTTTCCTTCTCTTTCTTGCTTTTTCTTTCTCTTCCTTCTATCTTTCTTTCTATTTCATCTATTTCCTTCTCTTTCTTTCTTTCTCTTTCTTCCTTTCTCTTCCCTTGTATTTCCTCTTTCTTCTCTGCCAAGAAATTACCGGATAGGTCAGTGGTTAGAGCATCTGGAAAGCAAAAATGAAAGCGAGGCCGACGGTACAATCCCCTTTCCAGAAATCTTTCATTCCCATTCTTTACTTTACTTTTATACTCACCCAAATTCTGCAGCATTGCCGCCAGAACGCTCCTCACAACTCTCGCTTTCAATTGAGCGTTACTCGAGAAAAGATTTCGCAGATATAAAATGATGAAGAAGAGAATATAAATGATAATTGTTACAAAGAGAAATCCGGGAATGCATTTATTGGAGTAAGTTGTGAGGAAAAGATTTGTAGTTACGGTTGCATACCTGGAAGAAATGATTGATTACAGATTGACTGCGTGCTCAAAAATTGGCCACGTACGGTAGCTTCCAAGCTAAAGAATAGGGTACGATTCGAGCCGGGTGCGATTTTCCATGCTCGAGTACTGTAGTTTTCTAGGTTACCGTACTCTAGCGACAGTACTCTAGCGATAGTACTGTGGAAAAAGAATAGCTGGAATACGATAGCGGTAGTAAGAATAGCGGTAGTTTTTTTCCATACGAGCACCTTTCACAATTGAGTCTTATTTATAAAACAAACGCAATTGAGTAGTTGTTTCCTTTAAACATGAAATCCATATCCACCCATCCAACAATGTAAAGCCCAATCCCTGCACTCCATCCCCAAATCAAAACCATCAACAAAGTGACAACGATTCGAGGGAAAATTGAGAGCTAAAACACACGAGATTTCAAATTTCAAGTTACTTCTGGATGAAATAAGTTTGAATAAACGAACAGTTGCCATATTTCTCTTTGTAAACAACATTCCCAATCGAGAAACGGCTAAGAAAAAGTTCCATAACTTTGTTTGACAAGAGATTCCGAGAAGAACCGAATGAGAGATTTTGGCGAAGATCGGGATCCACGGATTCATGTATAAATAGGCGAGACCCCATGAGGCTGGCTCACGAATCAAAATCTCGCATAAGCATATGATGAGATCGCAGATTACTAGAAAGTTTACTTATCAGTGAAATTCTCAATGAAGTCAAATAAAGTGACTAGCTAGGGAAGAGTACCAGGTGACCGTGAGGTTTCAAAACGAGACCCAGCCCATACGATAGAAAATCAAAGGGGGAATCCGGATCTCTAATCAAAATCTGCTGAATAGCTCGCAAACGCAAGATTTCTGGCATCGAAGTTTTTCCTATACACTCTTGGGTTTACGAGTTTTCAAGTTTACACTACCCCTTTCATCAATGAGTCAATGAATAGAGCAGTCGTGGTGTAGTGGTTAGTGTGATTGCATACCGTCGTAGCCGACTGGAAAGGAGTCTCGCCTCCTAGTCAAGGTCAAGGTCAAGGGTCAAGGTCAAGGGGTCAAGGGTCAAAGGTCATGGTCAAGGCTTCGATCCCAGAAAAAGAAAAATTGGTTCTTTTTCTCATTGTTATGGGTTTTTTTCTTAACAATATTTGGGTAATAGGCGTAAAAATTTCCTCCGTTGCTTTGTAATCCATTATTCGTGTCGAATAAATATACTTTTATACGGAGCCTATCGAATTGTTGGGTTCAAATCCACTTGCCTGGGTTCAAATCCACTTGTGAATTGGGTTCGAATCCACTTGCGTGGGTTCAAAGCCACTCGCGTGGGTTCAAAGCCACTCGCGTGGGTTCAAAGCCACTCGCGTGGGTTCAAATCCACTTCAAATCCACTTGCGATTCCACAAGAACCACAAGAAAACCAAGCATAAATAAAGCAAAAAAAATGAGTATAAGAATTTGTGAAAATCCAAAAGATTATTGTGAAAAAGAAAAAGCAAAAAGTAATAGCTTATTTTGTAGAGCAAGACATGTAGAATCTTAAAGTGAAGCTATATGTGGAAAAAGTTAATTTAGTAAAAAAAATATGAAATTCGTTCGGATTTGGTATTTGGGATTTGCTGTTCTCGACAAATTTGGTTCGTTTTCTCTACAGATTTAGTTCCTTTTCTCTACAGATTTGGTTCTTTTTGGGTACAGATTTGGTTTCTTTTCTCTACAATTTTGGTTCGAAACGGTTAGTTCAGATCCGAATCCGAACTAATTTCATCTTTTTTTTACTAAAATAACTTTTACCACATGTAACTTCACTATAAGTCTATAAATCACCGGAATCTATAAGTCTTGCTCTACAAAATGACACCAAAATCGGCTCACTAGTTTTGGAGATAAAGGCACGCAAAGGGATGGAGGATGGAGGATGGCGCGGTCAAGGGTCTAGTTCGGATTCGGACGTAACACAGGAACAACTTCAATGCCAGAAATGTTGCATTTGCGAGCTATTCAGCAGATTTTGATTACAGATTCGGATTCCCCGTTTGATTTTCTATTGAATGGGCTGGTTTAGTACTCTTCCCTAGTAAGGGCTTTTCTAATGGCATTTCTGGTCCTGGTCTGGGTTCTACTCTTGCGTCACCTAACCTTGGGTCAATAAAAAGACCCTGGGCCGATCAAAAGCCAGCTCTGGACTTAGCCTGGCCTTGTTTACAGCTTTGTTTGACATAGCTTTTTTAACTGTACCAGTTTTGAAATAAACTTACAAACATTGATGAGACAAGTCTCGTATATTCGATCGAATCTCGACACTTCGAATAGAGTCTTAATCAAGAGACATTGCAAGGGAATTGTGGTAATTATGTGAACATCAATGAATAGAGCGACAAACTCCATTAAACAATAAGGCAGATTAACAATCGAAGCTAGAGTTTCAGCCTTGTCGTGATGAGCATCGCAGTGATGAAGGATTAGCAGAATAGTTCCTTAGCGCTTCACAAAGCTCACAAATCACTCAAATTACGACTCAGATTTCGATCTTTTTGTGATAAATATAGGTTAAGTTGAGCTTTTTGTGCCTCATTTTGTGCTCTTCCTTTCAAAACCCATCCAATTAACCGTCTCCTACAACAACGGCTTCGATAATTGCGGAGAAAAGGCTAGACTGTTCGATAATTGCGGAGAAAAGAAGACTTTTTATTCCTGATACGCCACCGAATTCAAATTCAAAACAAAACGTTGGTTTAAGTGAAGCTGACTATGAGATAAAGTAGCTTTTCTCAACGACAGTGATTTTGTAATCATTACGTTGCCTCACAGTCAGCTTCACAGTGCAGCTAGGTTTAGCTATTTAAAGTCACTCTTGCTGGGATACATTTGTAACTGTAGAAAACCCGGTTCCGGTATTGTTTCTGCACGTTTCGGTCGTTTTTTGACCCGCCATTTGACGACATTTACAATTCAGGCTTACTGGGAGAAACGTTTGATGATCGTCACGAAAGACGCAGATTTCCGTGGAGTAAATGGTATCAGAAACGTGAGCTACAAAGTTTTAAAACAGTTTTAAGAATCTTGAGACAGCAATCACTCAAAAGAACCAAATTCAGGTACACTCATGAGCGAAAAGAGAGTCGTTTTATTGAATTTGACTCATTGTGAAGTTTTTTTTCCTTTCTTTTTTTGCCGAAATTGTCTTTCAAAGACTAATAAAAGATGCAATCAAAGAAATCATCTGATAGACAAGTGAAAGAACGAAAAAATATCATACTTTATTCAAAATATGAAATAAAGCGTAGTCAATAAGACAAAGTGCAATCTACAGAAAAAAAAATTTCAAGACGCGATACACATCCGCGCGAAAATGTGTTTACTATAGGATTTTTACGTTTGCATAGCCGATTGACGCAGAAAAATGTGCTGAATCCGAAAATAAAAGAATTTTTGAAATCCCTTTGATTGATTGATCATACAATTATCAATAAATGTGAATTTCAATAAGTTTAAAAGGTAAATAGAGTGGTGAATGGAAAGACTCAATTTCGTTTACAGGTTTGATAGGATGTTTTGCCGTCTATTAGAGGCTTGCCGGCTTGTTCCAGGATGGTCGACTTCCGGATTGGTCACTTGGGCCAATCTCTCCCGATAATCGCCATTCATAAAGAAGTCCATCGCCTAAAATTCAAAGGATTTTGCGCAACAGTTCTTTTGTCTGATTTTAAAATAGGGCTACTGTAAGTCTGACTGTTGCACTAATGCATTTATGACAGTTTTTTTCCATTAAAAATCTCTCACCTGTCTCACTCGCATCGTGTCCGCGTTTCCTTCTGCAAAATTGGCGATGTTCAGCTGGGAAAACGGTTTAGAGGCCGTATCGTAACTAAAGCTTTATTCTTTTATCAAAATTTACCTCAACACCTTTAGACTTAAAAAGATTCTAACAAACTTACATGAAAAGAACTCGAATCTGAATGATATCCGCATCTCTCACAACGAAACATGTGAGAGACTCTTGATCAACAACGATATTCGCTGCCTTTCCCTAGTAAGTAGTGTATTGCAATCGAATGGGGACCAAATGGGAACTGAAAGGGCACTGAATAGGAGCTGAATAGGAACCGAAAGGGAATCCAAAAGCACCGAATAGGAATCGAATGGAAACCGAAGAGGAACCGAATAGGAACCGAATAGAAAGCGAATGGGAACCCGATGCGAACAGAATGAGAACCGAATAAGACCAAATGGGAACTCAAAAGGCAACGAATAGGAACCCGATGGGAACCGAAAGGACACCGAATAGGAACCGAATGGAAACCGAAAGTGTACCGAATAGGAACCGAAAGGGAATCCAAAAGGCACCGAATAGGAAACGAATAGAAAGCGAATGGGAACCCGATGCGAACAGAATGAGAACCGAATAAGACCAAATGAGAACCCAAAAGGCACCGAATAGGAACCGAATGGAAACCGAAAGTGCACCGAATAGGAATCGAATGGGAACCGAATAGGATGTACTCTGGACTTGGTTTTCGAATCAAATCTAATCTGAATTCTGAATTCGATTCGGTTAAAAAATACAAGATTTTCGGTCTGAATGATTCGATTCGAAAAATGCCAGACCGAAAACCAGATCTAGTTTACTGTAATCTATTTATTGTAATCTACTAAAGCTTACTGTAATGAAAAGCTAGCTGACCCTTTAGTCACCCTGCACATTTCATTTCTAGATTTGATGAATTTCTGTTATGCCATGATAATCCTTCACACTACAATCTCCTCTGCCATGATCTGCATTTTCACCGAACCTTATCGACAGTTTTTATTGAAGTGCTTTCACTTTATTGCTGTGTAAGTTCAGAGTTGCACTATTGTATTTGCACTATTAACTAACTCAATAACAGAAATTTCAAGATTCACAAAAGATCAAATTCCCGCTATTATAACGATGCCTCACTATGAAAGTCCTATGATTCTTCGCAAGAAAGAGTTATTGAAATAAAATCAATATTGATTCTAGGGCTGTAATTCCCTTTACAAAACGATTTTTGAACTATCAATTAAAGAAAGTCAATATAATTTCTAGAACTTTTCATCCTTTTCATCCAAAGCTGCATTTTCTTCTTGAATTCTCTTTTCGCTCGGTTGTTTGACTGAAATTGACGCAATGTCCTCAGTTTTGTTAGCAATTCTTCGCTGGCGATAATTCTAAATCAAAAAAACTTGAGTTTTATCAATTTTTGACTTAAGCAGGTGATCGGGCCTTAGCGTAAGCCATTAGACATTTAGAGATATTAGACGATATTAGAGATATTAGACGGGCTATTAGACAACAAACTTCTGTACCTTATTCATACTTTTTCTGATTTGATCAACAGTGTGGCGATCCATAATTTTGATCAAAGTTCGGGCAAATATTCTGAAATTTATTCTCCAAGCTTGATTTTAACGTTTTTTAAACGTCCATACCCAGTCTTTATCCCAAAAATAAGTCCACTCAACAAATAAACACAAAAAGCGATCATTGTTAGACTTGCTAAAATGATAATCCAAACAGTTGCCCCAAAAAGGGGCGGTTTCCATGGAGACTTAGGTGCTTTTGTCGTGATGAGATCGGGAACTAAAGTACTAAAGTAACTGCTGAATTTTCTATCCTTCAGTTCTTCTACATGGTGTTCAGTATTTACGGCGAGTTCTTTATGGTAGAGTAGCTCCCAAGTGCCAAGTTCAACCCTAATGTGCTAAGTGTTATATAAAATATTGAAGTCCTTAATCTTGGCTACATTTATCTGTTAAAAGTTTAAGAGATATACAACTCATTTTACAAGCTCTTCAATGAGTACTAGTTGATCCCTCTCCGGCACGCCGGCCATTTTTGGGGTAAGAGTTTCCAGTTCAACTCGTGAATTGTGGCGCGGATTAGCTTTCATGTATCTGAACTGGCGTTGTCGTGTTGTTTGGAGAATTTTTCAAATCGAGGCGCTTTTCCTTAATCTTCTCATCGAGTTTTTTGAGCTGTTTGCTGTATAATAGAGCATTGATTGCCTGCTTATTATCGAGAGGCTCCCAATAAATGACACCTAAGAGATCCCACCAAACCGATAGCATGTACTTCCACTGATGGAAGCCTGAGAGCACATTCTTTGCTGGTGTAACTCCAGGTCCCACCCATTGTCGTTTTCTCTGAAAGTTTGCAGCTATAACCCACTTCTCATCTATAATCCACTTCATCCACACGAAGCAAGAAAGATTACCGTTGATGTCTCGAAAGAAGCGCAGCTGTGACTGATAATCACTGCCCTTTCATAGGTCCGTAAGGGTATGAGGTACCCATTGACCAAAAATTGACTTAAAACCAAGCTCATGAAGATGTCTTTCAATTGTTGAATGTTGAATCGCATCCGCTATTTCATGAGTGGAAATTCGAGGGTTGTCTTGAATTTTTTTGAGGAATCTCTTCATTTTTCAATTGAGAAGGTCTTCCCGCACGTTCTTCGTCTTCAAGGGAATTCTCACCATTTCTGAACTTGGCAAACCAACGTTGAATTGTGTTTTGAGAAGGCTGAATTGCCATACACGTTTTCAATATTATTCTAAGCCACCAACAAAGAAAGTTCTTTTTTGAACTCGTACAACATTACAGGCTCATCACCCATCACTCAAGAAAGATTATCAGGAAAGAAGGGCAGCGGCAACTGATGACCGCTGCCCTTTCATAGGGTCGGTGAGGTTGTGGGGCACCCATTGACCGTAAACCGATTTAAAACCCATAGTAAGGAGGTGCTTTTTAACCGTTACAAGTAACAAGCCTCAGCCGCAATTTCACGCAAAGAAATCCGAGTTTTTGCGAAATTTTTTTGGAGAATATCTGCATTTTCAAGCTCTCTGGGTCTACCCGATCGGTCTTCATTCTCAAGAGAAATGTCTCTATTTCTGAATTTGTGGAACCAGCGTTTTATTGTACTTTCGGAAGAAGAGTCATCACCAGACACGCTCTTGATGTTTGCTAAAGCGACAGAGATAGAAGACTCTTTTTGAAACTCGTACAACATGTCGGAAATGCCCTGGTAGATTTGAAGTAACATTTGAATAAATAATCAATAAAAAATATAAATGAGTATTTGACTTTCCGAAATCTATTTTTGAATAAAGAACTGAGAAGCCAATATTTTGAAGAAAAACAGGGCTCGTCGGCGTCCTTGAAGAGAAACATTTTGAAGAAAAACGTCCACAAAATCTCACAACGTCCACAAACGAAACTTTGTTGAGGGGGTCAAGACTTATTGGGTTGGTGAATTGAAAACTGCGGCCTATTGTCATCTGTGACAGTTTGAGCACTTTCTTCAAAAGAAACCCATTTTGGTGTTAATGGAAAAGTTGTAGAGGATCAAAAATTAAGCTTATATCCAAATTTTCAGAACGATTCAAAAACTGGTTTTCAAGAAATGCCAAATTTACGAATTTTCACAAAACTTGCATTTTAAGCGAAACTACTAAGTGTATCTTTTTGGAAATTTGGCTATAGGCCCAATTTTTGATTCTCTACAACTTTTCTATTGACACCAAAATGGGTTTCTTTTGAAGAAAGTGCTCAAACTGGGACATCTCCAATCCTCCATTTTTGAGTCTCACACTCGTCTCACACACAAACCAAAATCCTACTACGAAAGAGGAATTCGCAAATTGCCTGTAAAATGGGCAGAAGTCGTCAATAATAATGGAAATTATTTCGAATGAATTCATGGTTTTATGTTGAATAGATTTTAGTTCAAAGTCCGGTAGTTTTCAATTCACCAGCCCAATAGCTTACAACCTAAGATAACACCTAACACATTAGGGTTGAACTTGGCGCTCGGGAGATAATCTACGAAAAAGAAGATGCCGTGCACCTGAATTGCTGGATTGCCGTGCACTGAACCTGAAGATGAACTATCAAAAAGCTCAGTCGTCCCTGGTGTTGTCAAGGAATTGTTTAGCTGGGTGAGATACAAGAGAAATCCTTGATCAGTGTCATTATTAGAGCCAACACACCAAGTGATCTAAAGAAATTTAGAACAAATCCCGATCCAGTCACTCACCACAATGCAATGCGCGGAGAAATTGAAGAATGGATTTGGCTTGATTGAGTCGAATCTGAAAATATTGAGGAGGTCTTGAGAATTTGTGTACAAAAAGCTTCAAATATGCTTTCACATAAAAAAAAGTCCATCAGAAACTCCATCAGAAACGACAATATAAAAAACCTTACGTTTTGTCGATGTTCCTTTTGCTACTGTAACAATTTCCTTCGTATCCCTCGAACTCTACCCTTCCGTTAACAACCTTTTTCATTTCACCGAATGCTGGATGACTTTCACTACCCTAAATCTGCCCGTAACTGTACTGTATTTTCAAAAATGATTACCAAAAATGGTTCAGAAAGGGTTTGGCATTGTTTCCGTTTGGATAACTCAAGTTGATCGGGTCGATCCGGCAGCCAAGGATACCAAAAAGGTGTCCACAAAGTGAAGTGATCCAACCATTCTCCTAGAATTTTGCTATTTGAAGTCTTTAGCTGATTCCTTTCATTATTCGAACCCTTTCACTGAATCCTTTCACTATTCCTTTCATTATTTGAATCCTTTCACTGATTCAACAACTCACTCGCTGATCGAGTGTCGAATGCTAAACAAAAAGTGCAATTGTCGTCGGTGAACACACTGACAGCCGTGTTCCGCGTAAGCATCAAATAATCGTCCCTGAATCTTGAGTTCAAACTGATTTCTGACTTCTTTTCTGATTTCCTACTTTCCATCATACAAAAGGTAATCCTTATTCCTTGTAGAGCCAGGATCTCCACCAGCATACGTTAAATAGGCTGTTGTGTCAGGGCAACTGATTTGAGACTGAAAATGGTTTGTAATCGATGGAAAGAGCAATACTACGGCTTTGTAGAAAACGAATACAAATACAAATCCACCTTCTTCCCAGGAACGAGCAAAGGAATCTACCTTCAAACTTGGGCAAAATTTTGGCCAAACCAGGCTAACTTTTGGTCTGGTTTTGTTCTGACTTCTTTTGAAAAGTAAGCAAAATGAATTGATTCGAAGAAAATTTCTAAATACCTTGAAATATCGACATTGTTCATCCGATTTTGATGGAGTGACTACTTGATGCATTGTTAATGGACCATCTTCTCTAAATTTCCTTTGTTTGGCAAATTCTAATCAATTCATCAATCACTTGTAAGTTTCAGGACTTGGCACAATGGTGGCAATCACATTTGGCTTGATCAATACTTTAAAGTTATCCAGCGCGCCTTCGTCGTGAATGCCGGGAATTATGAAGACTTTCATTGCTTCTATAAGAAATTAGAATTATTTTTAACTCTAGAAATTTTCTAGAGCTTTAGAAATTAAGCTTTAGGCTTTAAAGCTTTAAATAGTCCTTGGAATTGGTAAAATTTATCTGTACACTTACTGACAACTCAACCATGAGTATTGTGAGCATTAAATTACCAGTAATCCATTGCTGAACACGAAAAGAAATCGCGAATTCATTTCTGGAGACATTTGCATTGCTCGGGAGATTGCGAAGCGTCAAATTCGAGACATTTCCGAGAGTCAGTGATGAGCTGTAGTAATACCCTTTGAAATCGTTCGATGGATAGTAGGAATAGTTACTGAAAAGTGCAAGATTAGTGGGAAAATCTTGGAAACGGTTTGAAAAAGGATCTAGACAAAAAGACTGAAAGAAAAAGAGTCCAAAATCAAAGATCAAAAAATCATTTTCTTTAAACAAACACATATTCTGTGAAGCGCTGACTTGAGAGATCCAAATCATCTATCAAGAAGGGCATCTCATCCAAGCAATCCTGTAATCAAGAATGGGTAATTGCATTGCAATAATCAGTAACAAATGAAACTTCTGCTCTTAAACTGCAGTTGTTTTGAGTGATATCAATGATGTAGTCGATAGGGTTTGCAGTGATCAGAGTCACAGCCTGAAACGGTGGGTTGTTGCTTGTGAACTTTTTCTGAATACGACTCGGGTAGCTTCTAAATACTTAAATCTCAAGGATTTACCCCGATTTTGGTGCTATCGAGCTCATCACTTTTGAGCATTGCATCAAAAACTGGGATCACATATGACTTGGGGTGGCCTTACGTTATTTTTATAGTATTTTCCTTTCTTTACAAAAAGTTGTTGTTAGAAAACAGTGCGCTGACATTATATTTGGTTGGTGAATTGAAAACTGCGGGCCATTGTCATATGTGACAGTTTGAGCACTTTCTTCAAAAGAAACCCATTTTGGTGTCAATGGAAAAGTTGTAGAGAATCAAAAATGAAGCTTATATCCAAATTTTCAAAACGATTCAAAAACTGGTTTTCAAGCAATGCCAAATTTTCAAGAAAATTTTCACAAAACTTGCATTTTAAGCAAAACTACTAAGTGTATCTTTTTGGAAATTTGGCTATAAGCCTAATTTTTGATTCTCTACAACTTTTCCACTGACACCAAAATGGGTTTCTTTTGAAGAAAGTGCTCAAACTGGGACATCTCCAGTCCTCCATTTTTGAGTCTCACACTTGTCTCACACACAAACCAAAATCCTACTACGAAAGAGGAATCCGCAAATTGCCTGTAAAATGGGCAGAAGTCGTCAATAATAATGGAAATTATTTGAAATGAATGGATGGTTTTATGTTCAATAAATTTTAGTTCAAGTCCCGCAGTTTTCAATTCACCAACCCAATATTTCCAAACATTTTTTTGTTGAAATGTGGAAGTCTGTAATAGTAGTGCACCTTGGGAGGTGGTTGAAAAAAATAGTATTGCTGACTACTATTAGGGAAAATATAGTATACAAAAACGATTATCGGTCGGGATTCGAACCAACCACCAAAAGCAACGAACCAACCACCAACCACCATTCGTTCTGTAGACTATCACACTACCCACTACACCACGACCGCCGCTCACCTAAAACTCGACCTCGAAGAGTGTATAGCAAAGCAAAAATTGTCGGGCGAAAAATCTTGGGTGTTGTGAGCTATTCCGCAGAATCGAGGTCGAGTTTATGCAGTCGTCTATTAGGCAGTCGTCGTGTAGTGGGTAGTCTGATAGTGTAAGGAACGAACCGAGAGTTTGTGAGTTTTTTTCGTGGTGGGTTCCACGAAATGAATTGCAAAAATCGATAAATCAAATCAATCAATTTTTTTTCCTATCCATTTTTGACAGTTCATTTTCACTTCGAAAACATTTCACCAGCAGTCTTTGTAAACGAATCCCGTGAATGGCGAAAGATGGAGTTTTCTGATCGAGTTGAATCACTCGACTCCCCATCAGCTCATCAAATAATATAGCCAAAGTTAACAAAAACAAAAATGGCATATTACAAATTTGGAAATCAACGTGAGATTGAGATTTTTGGGGCGTTTTGGCGGTTCCTTTGGGTGCTTTTGTTATCTCAAAAGCGGGTTTTTCGATACTTTTGCTCGATTCGGGCGAGAGAAACGACGAAAGTCTCTTGGCTTACGGAATGTTTGTAATTCAGGTGGAAACATTTGCTGTAATTGGCGCAAAACGATCTCTTCCACTTTTGCAGACTACCAACTCGATGTGCTGAGTTCGTCTTTTGCAATTCATAGTCGACTCTTGAAGAAATACGAGGTGGAAAAGGATAACTATACGGTTATCCATTCCATAATCTTCCGTTTGATGAGGCACTGCGCTTGTTAGAGATTGTGATAGCTTCTCTAACAAGCTTTCTATGAAAGCTTAGAAAAGTTACCAGGTTTACCTCAAGAAATCGTAAGCTACACTGTTGGTTCGACTTGGTTTTGGCTTGGTTTGGCTTGGTTTGGCTTGATTTTGGCCTGGCTATGCTTGACTTTGGCTTTGTTTGGCTTGGATTTCTTTGAACAGCATGAATATCCACCTTTGAAACGTCGAAATTGCTCATTCGAAATACCTGGCCACTCGGAAAAAGTCATGAAATCTTTTGAAAACAATTCCCAGTACCGTTACAGTAATCGAAGCTCAATTGCAGAGCAGTTGGATGCCGAATATTCCAATCGAGACGCACGCTGGCTTCGTAGTAGTGATTCGAGAAATCGGGGGCATTTCAACGACACTCTCGTCGAATATTTCTTCAGCCAGAACCAGAATCACCTCCAGCACCCCGAACCCAACGAAAAGAATGGCCGGCGATGCAAATTTGAATCATTACATCTTTTTGCCTGTTCTACTGTTCTGTTTTTGGATTTGATGCTGAGAATTTCCGTTTCTGCTTTTCGTTTTGAATACAGTCTTGCTTTGTCTACACATAACATCTAACTGAAAAGACATTCAGCTTTGAAAACTTGATATTTCCTTCAAGTATACTGTGTCGTACTGTACAATAGACACAGTCCAGGCCGGTTCGCTCCAATCAGCCTGGAGAGATGACTGAACTAGGCTGAGAATCGAGCTGTGATACCTGTGAACGGTGATATCTACTGTAAAATGCCTTCACTAATCCCTTGAAGTCATTCTATGAACTTGTCAGTGTTGATTTGGGTTCTTAAATTGCTCTTTCCTCTATGACTTTGTTTTTTTCAATTGCAAAACGTAGCAATTCACATTTTTACAAAGAAAAAGCTTAACAAGGCCCGCTTTAAGCCTAAAAACTCACGCCCAGTGCTTACCTTTTTCTGCAATAATCCTTGCACCAGAAATATATCAGAAATAGACAAAATTCCTAAGTTCATATTAATCTGTAAGTATGTGAGCGGAAAAAAGCGAAAAAAAGGATCCTAAGCTCTCCTTGGCAGAAAAAATTCGGTGTTTGCGAGTGAAAATAAGCCTTGTTCCACAGAAATCTATGGAAAAACTCAGTTTTTTTACTAATCTGTAAGAAAGCGATACTAATCTGTAGGCGGGAAAACGGCACTAAACCGTCTCTGATTTGGGTAGAATAAGAAAATCTGAAAGATATTTTGGGGAACTAAAAATATTTGAAATTGGAATCGTTCATGAAATCCCAGTCTGATCTGATCTCAAAGAACGGGTCTAACGCTTGGTTTTAATGGGTAGAATTGGGTAGAAAAACGGTTTAAAACGTGCTCTAAAGCTCTAGAGCTGTACAGGGTGGCGCACAATTACCCGCACTCAGTTCAGATTCTCCAGCTCAGCGAAGAGTCAATCAATCGATCTAATTCTTTTTTTATTATCAAATTGAATATTTCTCCTGCAATTTGTTTTCTGGATTTGATCAGAAAAGTTTCTAAACTTTTGCTAGAGCGCTGCAAAGTTGCGACACACGTTTCCTGCGGCGGAATCGCGATTTTTTGGTTTTTGTAACTAGTTTCAATGGCTCAAAATGAAAGAAAACCAGCTTCACTTGCTCCTTTTTACTTATTATTTCCAAAATCTAGCTTATTTTTACTAGAAAACAATGAATTTCGATTAGGGATCAAAGTGCAAAATGTGAATTTGAACTGAGTGCGGGTGGTAATCCGGTAATCCAGATAATCCGGTTGAAATCTACTGTATTGTAATTTGTAATGGATTGTAATGGATTCAAATAAATTTTTATGATCTAGAGTCAGGCTTCGTTCCTGTTCTTCAAGCCTGCAAGCTTGATTAGAATTGCCATTCCAGTCCGGTATTCCAATCGGGCTCTAATCTTGTAAGGCAGAAGGGGCCAGAGTTCAGAGCCACGTTCTGGTGGACTAGATCTGGTGGCTTCAAGTGGACTAGATTTTTGGAGATCAGATCTAAAGCAAGGCTTGGCTGGCCTGACTTTGGCCTCGCCAATTCTCTAGAACAACAGACTTCCTGGCTTTTAGTACATCCTTGCAATGCGAACAAGTTTCAACGATTTCTCAAGCAATTCAATAGCTCTAATACTTCTTTCCAACCCAATAAGTGCCGTACTTGAAAATGTTTCACAGCTTTTTTTACTATTTAACGCATTTTCCATTCTCCCCACCGTTAGGCCGTACTAATGACGAAAATTTTTGGTGTCAATTAAAGCTTTTAAAGATTTTTGTTATCCATTTCGGAGAAAATTCCGGTAGCTTTGTACTAGTTTTCCAGAGGAGATTCGGGGCTATCAAACGAGTATAATATTGGGTTGGTGAATTGAAAACTGCCGGCTATTGTCATATTGTCAGTTTGAGCACTTTCTCCAAAAGAAACCCGTTTTGGTGTCAATGGCAAAGTTGTAGGGGGTCACAAATTAAGATTATATCCAAATTTTCAGAACGATTCAAAAACTGGTTTTCAAGAAATGCCAAATTTACGAATTTTCACAAAACTTGCATTTTAAGCGAAACTACTAAGTGTATCTTTTCGGAAATTTGGCTAATTTTATAGCTAAGCCTAATTTTTGATTCTCTACAACTTTTCTATTGACACCAAAATGGGTTTCTTTTGAAGAAACTGCTCAAACTATGACATCTCCAGTCCTCCATTTTTGAGTCTCACACTTGTCTCACACACAAACCAAAATCCTACTACGAAAGAGGAATCCGCAAATTGCCTGTAAAATGGGCAGAAGTCGTCAATAATGATGGAAATTATTTGAAATGAATTGATGGTTTTATGTTCAATAAATTTTAGTTCAAGTCCCGCAGTTTTCAATTCACCAACCCAATAAAAGCATAGTCAGAATCAGCATAGCCGATTCTATAAAGTCCCGTGGCTCTCGTATTAAAAAGCCAGAATCTGCTGCTGTTTTTCTTTTGCTTCTGTATTCAAACATCTCTTTATGATCACAACAATTTATTGCTTAAACCACATTGCACTTCCTTTTGATCAGACAGTTTAGGGGAAAAGGTAAGGTAAAGCTGATCTGTTGCGAGACTGGTTCCACGCTAGGGAAAATCTGAAGTCTTGAGATGTCTGAGTTTTGATGTATATTTCTGTTGTTTTACTTCAAAGTCAAATTCTGGTACCCGTCTTGATATTCAGATTCTATTTAAGTTGAAAAGTTATTAGCATGAACAATTGAAAAACAAAATTGAAACTCTTGAAACACTTCCAACGCTTTTTAATCGGGAATTTCATCCAGATCTACTTCTTAAAGTTGGATTGAAACGGCGATTTTGAATCAGAGAAAGATTGGTAAAAGTTTGGAAAAGTTTGGAAAAAGGGAACTACTTTCCATGTTTGCTAAAAGCCTGGTAAGCAATTGGAGAAAACTTTGAAAGGCAAGGAAGTTGATATTTCTAAAAATGTTTGCAACTTTCTAGTTCTAAAATGTCATCGTAGTGTGATGTGACTTCCAAAACTTGGATAAAATTGAAAATTGAGTTTTCAAAGGTACAACTACAGTTTACCTGGTGTAGATTCTCTTTTTCGATGACTGTTTCGACCTTTGACATGTGAAAACCAATGAAAAACGATTAATTTTATTTAAATTCTATTTCAAAATCAATCTTCTATAAATGTAAATCTTTGTCTTTCTTTTGCAATGTCCATTTCGTTGTCCTTCCTCCATTTGTACTCGCCATCATCACCGCCACAAAGCCACATTTCTCCGCCTCGTTCAGCACCTCCACCGGTGACGCCAAATTGCTTTTCCAGCAACTAAAATGCATTTTTTGCACGACTTATCTAACGCTAAGCTTATCAAAAGATTATAAAAGCTCAAAGAAATTGTTTGCTAAAAGTGGGGTCAAGAGGCTTTTTTGTAATGCTTTGGAGAAAATTTCTGAAGATTCGAGGAATTTTAAAGGGTTCAAGGGTTCAAGGGTTTGCTGCAGTTGCAGCAGTTGCAGGTTGCAGCAATTGCAGCATTTGCAGCAGTTGCAGCAGTTACAGCTTTTAACTTAATGCAGTAGCCAATACTTACAGCCAATTCCTTAAAAACTCACGAATGTCTCCCAACTTGATTCGATTGATGTTTTGATCCCCAAGGAATCCGTTTCTCAGCCTCCTCCCAACCTGCAGAGCTTGCCTTCAACGGAATCGTGATTTTCTCCAAATGAGGAATGAATTGATTCGTTGGATCTTCTACAACGACTGAATATTTCAATTGATGGATGTTTAGATTTCGATTTGGCACAAAATACCCAGTGATTACCACGTATGGCATTTTCAAGGAAAGAATCGTAATTTCTAGAAAATAACGGAAGCTTTGAACTGGTGAAAAAGATGAAATGAATGACTTGGGAAAAGAGATAAGAAGCCATTTCTCAAAGCGGATTGCTTTTCTTTTTTAAAAGCGAAAAGCTGAAGGTTGAACGCTGACAAATGGGTTAGTTTCAAACTATTCTTGGTGTTTTTTGAGTTGCAATTTTTCATCTTAACTAGACTGTTTCTTAGCTTTTTTAAGATAAAGCTCAAACCTGGTTTTCCTCGGCTTTGTTCTCACTCATTCTATTCTCGTTCTCACTCATTCTATTCTTTTCTTACTGCATTTCTAAGCAATCTGGACTGCTTAGTATTTCAGTTTCAGATTCTCCAGATTCATTTCTATCAAATTGTTCGTCAATTTTACGTTTTCGTATTGTACAATTACTCAATGGGTGTGAAGAAATGAGGCCAGCTGGAAAAGTTTCGTTAGATCAAGTGTTTTAGTATCGAATTTTCAAAAATAACTGATTTAAGCTGGTTTAAGAGCTTTTGACCAGTTCTGTACTGGTAAACTGTACCAGTTTTGAAATAAACTTACAAATATTGATGAGATAAGTCTTGTACATTCGATAGAATCTCGATACTTTGAATAGAGTCTTGGCCAAGAGACATTGCATTGTGGCTGGAATTGTGGTAATTATGTGAACATCAATGAATAGAGAGACAAACTCCATTAAACAAGAAGATCAACAATCGAAGCCAGAGCTTCAGCCTTGTCGTGATGAGCATCGCAGTGATCATAAAGGATTAGCAGAATAGTTCTTTAGTGCTTCACAAAGCTCACAAATCACGCAGATTACGACTCAGATTTCGATCTTTTTGTGATAAAGTTGAGCTAAAGTGGAGCATTGAGTTCAGCTTTTTGTGCCTCATTTTGTGCACTTTCTTTTTAAAAACCCATCCAATCTTCTACAACAACAAGGCTTTCTAACTGTTCGATAATTGCAGAAAAGACTTTTTGTTTCTAATACATACATCCCCGAATTCAAGACAAAACCTTTGGATTGGATTGGATTGGATTGAATTGGATTTTGGTCATCAAGCCCTTCGATTTCTCTCATCAATCAATTTTGAAGATGAGAACATAACACGGACATTTAGTAGAGGATATTACAGGAATCTGTCAAAGTGAGTCGGATCCGAAAGTCTGAAATAGTGTTATGAAAACTTTATAAGGCTGAAGCGATGAATTGACTTCATAGCACAAGTCTCATAGTCTCAATGCCAGTCTCAACGAGTCACAATTCAAGTCTCAAAACGCGAGTTGACTAACCAACTTGTTGACTCAATAAAATGAATACTAGAGCTTACTCTATAATCAAAGCCTTATCTTTCTGGCTCTTTTTGTCTTTCAAAGACTAATAAGTCAAAGAAGAACTTTATTCAAGGTCGTCCTTTGATTGAGACGAGACAAGATCGTCTCATAGACAAGTGAAAGAACGAAATATATTCATACTTTATTCAAGACATGAAATAAAGCATAGTTAATAAGGCAAAATGAATTGACAGAAAAGAAAATTGAAAATTGAAACATTGAAATTGATATGATGTGGGATGAGAATGATGGGAAGGTGGATGAGAATAACATTTAGATTCAGAAAAATTTAGAATAACATAATTAGAATCAGGAGACCGACTTTCAATAGGTGCAAATTTCAATAAATTTCAATAGGTTTAGAATGTAAATCCAATGGTAAATGGAAAGACTCGATTTCGTTTACAAGTTTGATAGGATATTTTGCCGGCTATTAGAGGCTTGCCGGCTTGTTCCAGGCTGATCGATCTCCGGATTGGTCACTTGCGCCAATCTCTCCCGATAGTCGCCATTCATGAAGAAGCTCATTGCCTAAAATTCAAAGGATTTTAAGCTACAGTTCTTTTGTCGGAGCAATCTGCTTTTAAGATACTTTTAAAATGCCTTTAAAATGAGGCTACTGTAGGCATGTTGAACAGTTGAACAGCAGTTGAGCAGGCAGTTGAACTATTTCATTTATGGAACTCTTTTTTTCATTACAAGTCTCTCACTTGTCTCACTCGCATTGTGTCCGGGTTTCCTTCTGCAAAATTCGCGATGTCCAGCTGGGGAAACGGTTTAGAGGCCGTATCGTAACTAAAGCTTTATTCTTTTATCAAAATTTACGTCAATGCCTTTAAACTTTAAAGGATTCACTCTAGATAATAAAATTACATGAAAAGAACTCGAATCTGAACGATATCCGCATCTTTCACAACGAAACACGAGGGCATTTCTTTGTATTTCGATCGATCATCCACCACTGAATGAAAGATTTTGAAGGGATAAGGAAAATTGACGTATGCAATTAGTACAATTAGAGCGCAATTAGTACAATTAGAGTGCGATTAGTACAGTCAGAGTTACAAAAGTCTAACATTCAAACCTTCAACTAGAGCCAAACAGAAAGTGCCCTTATGAAGAACGCGATTCTTTTCCAAATGTTGCTGATCTAAGCATGGGCTCTTCATATCGTACGGTTGAGTCGCATTCTGGAATGCGTTTTGGTGAGAAAGGGTGTGAAATTTGTCATTTCTCATCAAATTCGTTAATTTCTTTTATAGTTTATATTTTGACTTGAATGTTTCCAACTCACAAATCGCATTTTTGAATGATTTTTCTGCGAATACCCTTGCGAGGTGACCGCATCTTTGCCAAGGTAGATACCTAAAAATGGATTTGAAAATTAGGTTACGAGACTTAAAACCAGCTCCAAATGAAGCTCCAGAAAGTTGATATACCGTTCCACTAGCAACCATCAGACCTTCGGACAGGATTTTATACCAATTCTCCACGGGACTTCCACTGAAAGTTGAACTCAATAGCTACCGTAATACCTGTAATATTAGGTTGACAAGAAAGTTCGTAGAAAAAGTTTGATTAGAATTGCTTAAATCATCATTTCAAGAACATTTTATTCGATTATTTACAAGTCGACTCGAAGAAATTACTCGTAAAAAATGAGTGCAGCTTTCCCATAAAATTTAGAGATTTTTGGGACAAAATCCTTATTTTCTAGCTTAAATTCAACTCACTTTTTACATCAGAAAAAGGATTCTTTATGAGGTAAAGCTATCATAAATGAGCAATACACTCTATAATCTCTATTTTTAGCCAAAAATTTTTCACAGTAAAGCTATATTTCGAAAAAATCATTTTTAAAAGTCATTCTCTTGGCACTGAGTGTTTGCTAAGGTGATTCTGAAAAGTTAGAAAAGCATTAGATAAACAAGAGACAAAAATTTGCCTTTATCACAAATTTTCCCCTATTTTAAGTACCTGATTTTAGGTTTTGAATAGAACCGATTGCCTATTCATTACCCATTAAAAGCTTGTCTAAAAGCTGGTCACTCAAAAAGTGACCAAGTCACTTCCGCTGAAGAAACCTCTCATTTTTTTACCTGATTAAAACCTTTTTTACCACTCTGACCTAGCACATCTAGACCAGATGTCAATGGAAAAGTTGTAGAGAATCAAAAAATGAATCTTATATCCAAATTTTCAGAACGATTCAAAAACTGGTTTTCAAGAAATGCCAAATTTACGAATTTTCACAAAACTTGCATTTTAAGCGAAACTACTAAGTGTATCTTTTTGGAAATTTGGTTATAAGCCTAATTTTTGATTCTCTACAAATTTTCTTTTGACACCAAAATGGGTTTCTTTTGAAGAAAGTGCTCAAACTATGACATCTCCAGTCCTCCATTTTTGAGTCTCACACTTGTCTCTCACAGAAATTCGAATTCTACAACGAAAGAGAGATCCGTAAATTGACTGTATAATAGGTAGAAATTGCCAATAATAATGCAAAATATTTGCAATAATTTCATGGTTTCTTTTTGAATAAATGTCTCTTTGAAAAGTGCTCAGTTTTCAATGTTATAACCCAATAATTAAAATTTCCCTTAATCCCAAACTTTCCCTGCTTTAAGTACTTGATTTTATGTTTTGAATGGGACCGATTGCCTATTCATTAACCCATTAAAAACTGGCTAAAAGCTGAAGAATCTCTGCTTCAGCTTCAAAAAAACTTCAGCTGAAGAAATCTCTTATTTTTTGCCAGAAGCCCACTGATGTTTTTGTCAAAAATTATTGAAATATCAAGTTTATCAAAAAATTTGGAAAGAATTCATGGCTTGGCTTTTGAGAAATCACCGTGCAAACTTTTTTCGACAACTTTCTTTCCAACCTTCTAGTAGTAACAGCCGTAAGTAGCCGGCGCTACGATTGGAGGAGGTGCTTTTATGTGCACAGAATCAGTGCTATGACTAGGGTTGTTTCAAAGACAAATTCAAAGCCAAGCTAAGCAAGCCAAGCAAGCCAGGCCTAATCAGGCTCTTTTGGACTTGCCTAGATTTGCTTGACTTGGTCCGCAAAAGTCAGAAGTCGAGTCCTGACTTTGGCTTTAGCTTTGGTAGACTTGGTCAAGGCCGCGCCACAATAACCTTGCCAGAAGCTAGACCTGGATCTGGCTATTGTATTCTACTGTACTCTAGGGCTTACTGCCTTGAATTCATTGAATGTAGTACAGGAATCCCTTCACTTACTGAAAAGCGAAGAAACTTTGTCCACCAGCGTTTTTCAAGCATTCCTAAAATTTTCTTTTAGATGACAATATTCATTTGAAAAATTTGAAAAAAACCTTAAATCGTGCCTCCTTTTCAGTGGAAACGGGCGGTAGAACGTATTGATTTTCGGTTTTAACGGATTTTACCCGGAAACGAGGTGGAAGACGACACATTACGGGCAAACGCTTCGATAACCTCAATGTTTTCGTTTTAAAAACATTTTCTTCAATTTTCTACCAACAAATTGATAGCATTAAGCTACAAATTTCTTTTAATTTCGAAAGTTTTTACCATAAAAGAAGATTCGCTTTGTCCATTGTGTGCTTGTTTCGCAGAAAAAGCTCGAAAATCTCCCAAGTCGAGAAAACGCATCGAGTGCAATAGCCGGTTAAAGCCCCGTTCAAGTGTTCGATGCCACTGAAAATGAACTGTAGTTTAGTTTTAGATTGAATTTTCCAAAAATTTAATTTATCAGCTTTTTCTATGGGGTTTTCTTTAGCACATTGACGACCGCGCAAACGCGAAACGGGAAACGCACAAAATTTCCTTTAAAAGACGCTCTTTTTTAGAAAATTCAGAAACACTCATTTTTCGAAACTTAGAGTTCTAACTTAGTACTTGTAGCTACTCTATTAGTTCAATATAATTTCTATTTTCTCCTGTTTTGACCAAAGTTTAATGAATGACGCCATTTTTATACCACCAAAAAGAGCATCACCCTCTTTGGATGAAGATCGGGATTCGGAAACGAATGAGGTGCTTCTCCTTTGTCCAGCCACTCCGAATTTTGTTTTCGATTGTCATATGGCATCCACTTGATCTTCCACTTCATCGCACTTGATCAGCCGATCCAAAAATGGATCTCTATTGTTCTGAGATTTCAACAAAGAAGCAGCAAGAAAGAAAACTTCTGGCGGTCATCGAACTGATGAAATATCCACTTCTCTAGTCTTTTAACCTTTCCGATATCCTTCAAGTGATCATTTATGGTCGAAATTCCTACATTGAAGTGTTTTGTTAGTTCTGGCTTAGTAGTCCGTGGATTAGCTAGCTTTGACCAATTTGTCTTAAATCATTATCATTAATGAGTCTTGGGCGGTCGCGACCCTCCTTTTCATCAAGGTCTTTATCTCTTTCCCGGACTGGTTTGAACTAAACTTGAGCCGTCCTAACAGAAGTAGTCCTTTGACCAAATGCATGATTGATGTTTTTGGCCGCAACCGTTGCGCTATGCAAAATTTGAGCTCATTTGGCCATTCACGAGGAACAACTGTCATCAGCATTGAGTCATGCAGTCGTCTATGTGTTAAAAGACAACCCATTGCATTCACAAAGTGGTGAAGAAAAGTGACAAATTGTAAAATCACTCTGTAAGCCAGGTCCAGGTCTGATCTTGGCTCAGGTCAAGGTCCAGGTCCAGGTCCAGGTTCAGCTCCAGGTCCAGATCCAGGTCCAGATCCAGGTCCAGGTCCAGGTCCAGGTCCAAATCTAATCTTGGCTCAGGTCCAGATCCAGGTCCAGGTTCAGCTCCAGGTCCAGATCTAGGTTCAGGTTCAGGTCCAAAGTCCAGGAAACCTAGATGTTGACCTGGCTGATGAAACAAGTACTTCCCTTGAGTCAATTCTGCAACAAAGCGAATCCAGGCCAGTCCAGACAAGACCAGACGCCAGATCCAGTATCAAATTCACTACCACAAACCTTATCGCAAGCGCTTGATCTTTGAGTGGGTCCGGTCGACAAATCAAATTCCGGTGAGGCGACACATTTGCGTGAAAGAAGAGAAAATTGAAGACGTGAGCCGTGTCCGCATTCATCACTTGATCGCATTTCTTTCCCTCGTGGCGCTCGTTGTAATCTTTTTCGCAAAGTCTCAATGGTTTTCATGAAATTTGACAATTTTTGAAAAGGTTTCCATACCTGCAAAACTTGTATCCACACTTCGGATTCTTACATCGAAACACGGAATGCACCTCTTTGGCAGCCTCAATTACCACTGCGAATTCACAGTGTTGGCATCTGAAACATTGTAATTAAAACCTAAAATTGATAGATTTTAAGCCAACTGATAGGTTTAAAAGATCGACACTGGTTTAAGCAATAGAATATTCTATCATTTTTACAAATTTTTCCCCACAAATTTTACCTCTCAAGGTTCTCCAAATGTGCCTGATCAAGCGCGACTTTTAACAGTTTCTTGGTGAACGCATTTTGCTGACTTTCCGTCAAAATCGGCGTCACGTGAGCTGTAAATTAAAAAAAAATTGATTTCTGTTTATTTTGTATAGATTTTGTCTTTTTTATAATAGAAAACTATTTTCTTAAAGTATTTTGCCAAAATTTGAACAAATACTGAGCTCAAATCAATGCTAGAGATTAGATAATCAACTAATTGGCTTTCGGCTCATTAAAAGAGCCTATGAATTGTAGCGCAAAAAGTTCTCGGTTTGTTAAATCTCTTTAAAAAGTTTTTTTTATGATTTGTTTCCCAGTTGTTTACCTTCAAAAATCACTCCATCACACTCGTGGCGAAGACATTTCACCCCAATACCTACTGCCGCAATGTAGGCATTTGCCGTGCTAGCATGAGCTTCAACACAACGAACACAAAAGGAATGGGATTCTAGAGAAAAGACTTCCTTTTTATGATTTCTCACTAGAGAATGGCACGAGATTGCGTTTTTCGTCTCAAAGCGTTCGCGACACGCTGAACATTTAAAGCACATCGCTTGCTCGTAACTCGAAATCGTCTAAAGCGTTGATTTAGCTTACAAGGAACCACAGATACTTACGGTTGCCCCCAACGACTTTCGACGAAAACGATTGCCCCTAAAATTCGTGGGTAGGTAGAAACGATTCTAGGGAACAACATATCAAAAATTCAGCTCTAAAGCTCCAAGGTTACGGTAGTTATAGTGTTTTAATATTTGGTAAGGGAGGATATAGGTGACAATGGGGTTTCTCTATTGGGATAAAGCACATCGCTTGCTCGTAACTCGAAATCCGCAACGATATTGGCCCTAGTTAGCCCTGGGGATCATCTTGAGCCTTTCTTTGTGTTATAATGTTGTTATGCAAACAACTATTCTCTTATACATCCCCACGTGTTTTTTGCACGCAATTTAGACTTAAATCATGTGTTTAGATTAAGTTTAACGATGGCGATGGCTTTGGAGATCGTTTAGGCGACGGCTTTGGACCAAGTATAGATTAGATTCGATAATGTATCAAGTAGATAAAACAATATTAGAATACCAAAATGGTTAAGGGTCCAAAATGATTCCAAAAGTTCAAAGAGAGACTCGAACCCGAGCAAATCCGCTTTGTAACTGAACGCACTACCACTAAACCGCCCGCGCAGCGAATCCAATTAGCCATAATATGTTAACTAGCCCCAATATCGTTGAGGAGAGAGAAACCCCATTGTCACCTATACCTTACCAAATATTAAAAACACTATAACTACCGTAATCTTGGAGCTTTAGAGCTGAATTTTTGATATGTTGTTCCCTAGAATCGTTTCTACCTATCCACGAATTTTAGGGGCAATCGGCGTCCGTAAGTATCTGTGGTTCCCTTGTTAGACTAATGTCGATTAATCTTTCATGAGTAGACTTTTTTAGGCTTATAAAGTAAAAACCCACTCTATCTGCCATAGAACTCTTTTAAAACCCTCACATTCTTGATGATTGCTTGATAGGATTTCCACATATTCAGAGCGAATTTTGGCAAATCGACCCAATTCGCATTTTTGGCTTCAAGCTCTCGACTTTTGTGATTCTCGTTGAAAACCGGAGCGACAGATTTTGAAGGCAAAACTGAAAAAAAGGCTTGAATGCACTGTTTTTCTGTATGGTCGCATCCGTTTCCTTCCTTTTTGCGTTCCTATTTTGCAATTGTTCGCGTCGCATTTTTTTGGTCTTTTTTTCTCTCTTCCCGAAATTATTTTTTATTGGAGGAGGGGGTTTTTTGGCAGAGCTTCTGGCCCTTTTGGGGTTGGGGTTTTCGCCTTCGTTCTTGGGGGACTTTGATGTTTCTATTCATGCGGTTTTTGTAATGGGTATCGTCGCATTTTTGGTTCTGTACTATGGCCGATAAATCTTTAGATACTTTTTTATAAATCTATTTTTGAATGAAAACTTTACCAATAGATCTACCTCCTTGCTTAGAAAATGTTTATGATACACTTTTCGATCTTTTTACCCCAATCTGCGGCCGTTTCCAAGCAAAAACCGGGCGCAAGATCCAGATCGAAAGATTGTTTTGCCTAAAATTCGATAAAAGATGATTTAAAGAAATCGGCTGAACAGATCATGCTGAAAATTTGGCTATACACCTATCTTTTTTCGCTCTATCTTTTAACTATTGACACCAAGATAGGTTTCTTTGAATCAAAGTGTCTAAATCGAGTCGAGACCGAGACAACCGAAAGATCGATTCGTCACCCTTTTTGACTTTTTGACCGAGTTCGCACCTTCAAACAAAAAAAATCAGAAACAAAACATTTCTTATGATTTCAAGCGATCTTTATAGAGAGATTTTATAGAGAAATATTAGGGCTTGCTAATAGAGAAAACCGGAGGTTAATAGGTGAATTAGTTATTTCTAAATAACTTCTTAAATGAAGTGTCAGACTTATCGGCCGACTTAATATTAAGTTGACAAGAAAGTTTTTTCATTTCACCCAAATTTTTCAACTAAAGCAAATTACAGTAGCTTGAAAAACACTTCAAGTCTACAATTGATCAAGTGAGCCTACAATTTACAATTGAAATCTCCTTACACTGAGATTTTCTCAATCTCTCTTCCAATCCATAATCGCAAAGACCCAAAATGAGAGAACACTCGAAAAAGTCGCGTTTCTTCAGCAATTCATAGATTGTGCCCATCCGAAGCTGAAAAGTCAAGGTGTTTTTGGAAGCTTTTCAGGTATTTCTTTAGAAATTACATGCATTTTTACTTTTTGACGCCCCTAACATCACAAATTTCTATAGAAAACTTATTGATCGTTTACTGAATAACCCTTGGATATCGATCCCGGAAGAACAATCCAATTTTTATAATCTCTTCTTTTGATGGAGTCTCTTTAATCTCATCATTTGTGTGACGTCGTTCTCTAAAAGTTCATCGATTATCGTCTAAATCGATTAAACCAACATTTTCAGCAATTCTGACCATAAAGCTTCAGCAATTTGCTCCTTCTTGAAGAGTTGATCTTCGTGATTGTTTCTAGAATGACTCAAAATTGAAACTGATATTTTGATTCGAAATTGCTTTGAAAAAAAATGGTACTTAGTCTTGACTGTTTTTGCTCTTTATTTAACTATTAGTCATTTTAGTTGTCCAAGTTGGAACCACTTGAGTTAACGGGACAGTCAAGGCACACTTTAACTAGGAAAAGTTAGGAAAAGCCTTTTGCTACAGTATACGACACGTTTTTTGAAGAGACCAGCCTGGTTCGATTCGTCTCGGTGCCAGATTTACTCCGGATTTACTTTTGCTTTTTAATTAAGTTACAAAAACAAATTTCTGAGTTTTCTAAAGTGTCTACGGACATTAATAAGCTATATCAAGCTTCTAAAATGTCAAAAGTTTACTGAAAATGGCCTCAATCTCAAAAAGGTTGAAACAGTTCTCTAGTTTCATAGAGTGAAACTCAAAAGTGAACCAAAATTCCATAGACTGCAATTTCATGGACAAATCCACCTATTTACTCGCTGTTGTTGTTGAGAAGTCGATGAAAAGCTCAAGCTTTCTTCGTTTATTCGTTTATTTGTTAATGTTCCGGCTTGATCATCATTTTCCTAAAAAACTCGTCAATTTTCGAAATTTTCCAAAGTCAAACCGATATCTTCAGCAATTTCTCGTAGAGCTCATCCTCGGTCAAGTTGGCAAATGGTCGGATTTGATCTTCGGTTAGATTGGGAAAGATTTCATGCTTAAAAATTTGCAATTTGTAAATATTCTAAATGAAAATATTAAAAAAACCTACAAAAATCAATAAAAAAACGAAAGAATTATGCTTTGAGCATTTTTTCACTCCAAAAACGCACCATTGCATCGATTTTCAGCCGAATTTCTTCTGAATCATTTATCATTTCATCTCCAGAAGAAATCTTTCTAAAAATAGCAAGGAAAATGGGTAAAATAGTGTTGTTTGAAATAGTGCTGCTTGAAAAATATTAGCTTTTTGTGGAACGGCTCTTACGCGAGGCAATTACACAAAAGAGAACTGGAAAAAGAGACAAACAAACGAATTCTTCTGGTGCTTTCTTCTCGAGCTTTTTCCAATCGTTCGATCATTTGTCGATGTTCCAGCTTGATCTTCATTTTCCTAAAAACTTTCCAATCTTTCCAATCTTTCCAATCTTTCCATTTTCCAAAGCCAAACCGATATCTCCAGCAATTTCTCGTAGAGCTCATCCTCAGTCAAATTGACAAACGGCCGGATTTGATCTTCGGTGAGATTGGGAAAGATTTCATGCTTAAAATTCAATCTTAGAATCAAAATACCGTAATCAAACTTTGAAATTCTTGAAATCAACGAGAGAATCCCTTTTTTTAGTCGTTTTTGATTTTCGAAACTCACCATTGCATCAATTCTCAATCGAATTTCTTCTGAATCATTTGTTAATCGATCTCCAGTAGACATTTTCTGAAAAAACTTTCAATAAAGCAAAGAAAATGAACAATAAATAACCGCTTTTTCTTAGAAAACATAAAAAAAACATTAGTTTCGATGAAAAATGAAAGAAAGCTACTCAAAAAAAGAGGAACTTTACTCACAAACAACTGAGAACTGGGCCAAAAGAGAGACAAACTACGATTTCGTTGGCAGTTTTTTTGCCTACGGCAAGAAATTTGCAAAGAAAACTGTGCGATTTGAATTTCCGATCATTGTATTGGGTTGGTGCATTGAAAACTGCCGACTATTTCCTAAACCTTTGGCATCAAAAAACCAGGGTTAACCAACCAAATGCTTAAATTTAAGGATAACACTCGAAATTGAGCTTTGAATTGGGTTTTGGTTTTTTGCAACTCAGGAAAATTCAGTGGTTGTAGAAGCAATTGTAGAATTGCCTAGAGCTCATATATTCCCTGGTATGCTGGAAAAATTCCCTGGTAGGCGGAAAGGCTACCAGGCTACCAGGGAAAGTATTTTCAGTAGCCGGGAAATTAGTTTTCCGGTAGCGCTTCCGGCAGCAGCATGCTCCATTTTGTCGGAAATTTTCTAGGAAAACGGAATCTACGGCTGCCGGGGTAATCCTCTTCGAGATTTATCGTTATACAGAGGCTAAAACGCGACAATGTTTTTTGATAGCAGATGGTGAAAGATATAGAAGCTTTGGGAAGAAAATTTGCCAGATGTGAGTTTAAATTTGTTTGTTATATTGTTTATAAGGTCTTTATAAGGTTTAGGTGCACGGCCCATGCGCCTAACTTGATTTGGCAACCACTTCGTAAAGTTCTATCAACATGTCGAGATGCAATTGGATGAAGAAAAGATAAGCCTCGTGGAGCATTATGGTCAACTACAAAAGGCTCGTGAGCGATTAGCCAGAAAACAAGTCTGGCTCGTCATTCACATGAGGTTTTTAATTACAGTCGAACTTCGACATAACGAATTTGAAATTTTAAAACGTATCTTGTTGGATATAGAGAAAAACATGTCGTGATCCCTGTTCCGCTTTTGGAGAACGAGTTATGACCGAACCGAAATGATCCTGCCAGCTCGATCCTGCTTGTCGAAAGATCCTGCTTGCCTGATTCCGAGAAGGTATTGAATACCTTGAAGACGAACCACATACCGTAAATACTGTAATTGGACCCCACCGTACAGTCGCGTAGTCGCAAAAGTTTTTTAGTATTCATTTTTTCAAAGCGCCCGTACTTCCAAAAAATGAGTCTTTGGTATCAAAAAATAGCCCTGAATTTCAGCTATTTTTGATACCAAAGCGCGCATTGAAGCTTAAACCAGTGTCGAGAAAAACTCGTTCAAAGCTAGACCACCCAACACTCCGCAGCGTCATTATGGGGATGGGGTACTATTACAGTATTTACGGTAGGCATCGCTCGACAGCGATCGATAATAAGAAATTGGAACAACTTATTGAAGCCGATCCAATGCAAACAACACGAGAGCCTCAAAACGTTTTCAATGTGATCAATCAACAATTTTCCGCCATTTGGAAATAATCGGAAAGATCAATCGTATGAGCTTCTTTTATGAACAAAGCTTCTTGTATGAACGTATGAACAAAGAAAGCTTCTTGTATGGAGTTAGAGGAGTTAGGATGGAATGTCTTACCGCATGCGCCATATATTCCAGACTTATCACCATCTGATTTTCACCTCTTAAGATCGAACATTTCCTTGCGAATTGCCAGTTTAAGAATGCGCAAGAGGTTGAGATTTGGATGCTCGACTACTTTCAATCACAGGATCAAGCCTTCTTCAATAAGGGGATCCGCAATCTGAAGCAACGTTGGAGAGATGTTAGATATAACGATGGTGCTTATTATTTCGAGTAAATTGTTAGCTAAAGGAATTTTGATTTAATTTAATATTTGTAAAAAAGCGAAATTTCTTTTGCATCAACCTAGTAGTTGAGCGCTTTTTCCCTATCGTTAGGAATGAGGTTACCAATGATCGTGCTAATGGTTGAATTGTTGCTTGAATGGTTGCTATTTCTCGCTACCTTAATGCCTTCAAAAGAATGCCTCTAGGAGTTTCCTTGTTAACTTTTGTTGAATATTTGTTTGGTGTTTTTTTTGCTTAGTTTTCTTGCTTCATTAGTTGCTGAAGTTAATTGTTATAAATTTCTTCTCATTTCAACACTTAATGCTAAAAAATTATATGGACAATACTACATAAAACATCAAACGCAAAAGGTTCGGTTGGCTAGCCAGGCCAGGCCAAAGCCAAAGCCAAAGCCAAGCCAAAGCCAAGAGATTGGCCTGGTCTAAAAAAAATTCCAGTCCATCAGGTACAATTCTAAACTGAGAACAGGAAAAAAGGAGAAAATAGGAATCATACTTTGTGCTGCTGATCTTCTTTAGCCCTGAACGCCTAAAATTTTTCTAGTTTATCAAGTTTTGTCATCAAATTTTGACAGTAAGAGATCAAAAAACGACAACTTATGCAAATCGTTCTCATCGATCAGCGGGGTTTAGTCGGGGCAAATTTTGCCCGGGAATTCTTCGAATACTTTGAAATTTTACTTTCAACTTACTTTCAGATTTGACACCAAAATACATATAACTGTTTTTTTTCGACCTTTTGATGGGTAAATTTGCCTAAATTTTGTCGATAGTACATACAGAATTTGGACTACTTAAAATCAATTTTTCTACCTCAGTACCCCGGTCAAACTTTAGACAAAACTGGCTGACTGGCTGACTGGCTGACTGGCTGACTGACTGGCTGGCTGACTGGCTGGCTGACTGGCTGGCTGACTGGCTGGCTGACTGGCTGGCTGACTGGCTGGCTGACTGGCTGGCTGACTGGCTGGCTGGCTGGCTGGCTGGCTGGCTGGCTGGCTGACTTGCTAACTGGCTGACTGGCTGACTGGCTGACTGGCTGACTGGCTGACTGGCTGGCTGACTGGCTGACTGGCTGACTGGCTGACTGGCTGACTGGCTGACTGGCTGACTGGCTGACTTGCTGACTGGCTGACTGACTGGCTGACTGACTGGCTGACTGGCTGACTGGCTGACTTGCTGACTGGCTGACTGACTGGCTGACTGACTGGCTGGCTGGCTTTAAAGTTGGCAAAAGATTGAATTTCCCTACAGATTTGGAAGATTTCCCTACAGATTTGCAAGATTTCCTCAAACCTTTTGTCTTTGTAGAATAATGTTTCATGTAAACTTTCCAATGTTGGATTTGCATTTGCAGAATTTTCTTATGAAATTCTCATTGTTAGCATATTTTATTCAACTAAAATCTTTAGAAATGCTTTCAAAACTGAAAGATGACACCTTCACGATCGTTGCCGCTTTCGTTGTCGGCTTTTTGCAATTGTCAATCTTTTTTGGGTAAGTCAAATCACAAATTCCTCATTTTGCACTCATTTTCACCGAAATCACCTTTCTTTTTTTTTTAAAGCATAAAGCTCTTTTCCCCATTTCTTCAGGTACAACGTGATGGGATTCACAGTGGAGTCGGTGATGCACAGCGTGAAAACGAGATGCCCGGATTGTATTCCGGATTTTGCTGGATATTATGGGTGTGTGAGTGAAGGGAAAATAAAAAAAAAACAACGGTTTTAATCGACTTTAAACTTTCGCAAAACTTGTCGCAAAACTTTGTCTCATTTTTGATCACTTTGTTTTTTCAATCCTAGCGTTAAAACCTCTGTATTGACTAAGAAATTTTCACAAATTTCTATTTAGCCAATGTCTCGTTTATGCCGTCTACACGTTTTCGAATTTCTTTGCCCCGGGCATCCTCCATTCAATCGGCATCCGAAAGACATTGATCATCGCCACCGTGTGTTTTCTCATCTATACAGCATCTTTTCTTTACATTCACAAGTTTCTCTATTTCCCTGCATCGGCACTAGGAGGATTTGGGCTTTCTTGTGAGTTTTTTTTGGTTAACTTGACTTTTTGTTGCTGCAAAACGAGTAACTAACCAAAAACGATAAGCTGTAAAAGTTTACATGCCCAACAACTAACCAAGTTAAGCAAGTACAAGTTTAGTTAGCTATTCCAAGGCTTTGAAGGTTTAGTTAGCTATTAACCAGTCAATAAATCTTCATTTTCTCAAGAAAACGATCATTTTAGTATACTATTTGGGTGCTGGTACTTATTCAGCGAAACACTCGACCAATTCGACTTTCTCGCGAAATCAAGCAATCTATTGGACGGTGGCTCAATTTTGGTGAATGATTTTCTTTTCAAAAATGACAAAATCGATGAATAAATGAATTTAGCTGGTTTCCTGTTGGTATGCTGATGATCGTCACGAATAAATTCAACGAGGAAATTGGAGTAGATGGCATAGTAAGAAAACGATCCGACTTTTTACCCGTTTTCTACTCAAAACTTACTCAATTGCCGTAACCTTTACTCTAATTCTTGACAATGTAATTTTAAAAAAGCCAAAAGGCAAGATAGCTTATCCAAATAATAATATTTTCGACTAATGATACGTCGCGAAGCTATCGTCACTACACAGAATCGGAAATCAATTTGATGACCTATGGCTCGTTAACCGTTCAATTTCTTGGTCTTCTGACAGCGATTTTCATGCCATCAAGAGAGATCCCGAACTCGATCTTTTGCAAAATTCCGAGAACATCTCAGTCTCAGCAGATAAGTCAGTTTTAAAAAGGAAAACGACCAAATCAGCTCATTTTACGAGCTAACAATCAGCTCATTTTACGATCAGCTACGATCAGCTACGATCAACTCGGATCAGCTCATTTTAAGCTCTAGAAAGCTTGGCATACTATAGATAGGAAACGAAATCGAAGGAAAGTTTTTGAAGCTTGAAATCAAATCATAAACTTCCAGAGAACATGTTCTCAAGCATCACCAAATCCTCGCTTCTACTCTTGGCTCCACTCCATTTATTCCGTGGAATGTACATTGCTTTTTGGCTCACAATCTACCCAACCACAATCGCTTTTACTGGGCAATTCGCAAAGAATCACAACCTTATTGGATATATTTGCATTGCCTTCACAATTGGAGAGATTGCACGTGAGGAAAAGACCTGAAAATCAAAGAAATCAAAGAAATCAAAGAAACAACTTTAGTCGGTTTCTTCATTTCCCACTTCTCGAAAAAAGTCAAAGATTTTGGGCTATGGCCGGTGTTTTCGATGGTGATTGGATCATTCTCGTTGAACGTGCTAGTTTGGGTGCTTTTCACACCAAAACTCTCTTCTATACAACCGACGAATGATCCAGCGATATTTGAGAATTGGTGGGCTTACAAGATCGAACCTGACTGTTAGATTAGTATTAGAATTAAGTATTGGAGCAACAGGGATGCTCTAATCAGGCCCAAGAACTTTTTTGGCTATTTTCAAGCCATCAAAGGTTTCCCTTATTCCCCTAGTTTACCTAGCTTTGTCTGTCCTGATTCTAGCTTTGAAAACTGGCCTCTAGACTGGCCTCTAGACTGGCCCAAAAATGTTTCTAACTCCTTAAAAGCCAGGACTCAATCTGGTCTTGCTTCTAAATTCTAACAAGAACAATAAACTCTAACACTCTTACCCTCTTACCATCAAAGCTACTCAAAAACCTCTTTCAGTATCCCAATTGTCATTGCTATGGGAGCTTTAAACGGAATTGTGGACGGATGCTTGAACAATGTTATCATGGTCATTTTGCCTAAAGTTCTCCCATCGAATCCAGCCGTCTCTTTCAGTATTTCCAAGTTTTACCAGGTAAATGGTTTGTGGCAATAGCAGAAGTTGCTGTTTTAGTCAATTGCATCAGCGACTTTCTACTTTGTGTCGAGTTTGCTAACCGTTCACCAACTTGGTGCCTTACTCACTTTCACTCTGGCAACGGGTTTGTGAAAATTTCCGTATTCTCTATTTCCAAACTGAATTTGTCTAGTTTAAGGCTGACAATGGACGATAGGCCACCGTAAATACTCTAATAGCGCTTCTATTTGAGTGTTTCATCTTTAACAATCAACAAAACAACCGTGATTTAAAACGACCACCGCCGTCGAGGCTCTTTCATTTCCCGTGGACTTTGCTAAGCTCTCTTTCTTGTTTGACGTTGTACGCAATCTTGGTCAATGTTGAAAAACTTTGCAGCAGCGCTGATGGAGACTTCCTTGCCATTTTTGCTGCCTCGAGTTTTATCCTCACGTCGATCGATTTCCGTCTTTGCTTTGCTGTGTCTTTGTCCACCTCCCTCACTGATTGATCACTCGATCCATTCTCACGAAGATGCTCTTGTTCATCCTCATAGTGATCGTTAAGTTCGCTTTCTCTTCGATCTCGAAATTCCTTAAATCCATCCAAGCTTCTCGATCGTATCTAAAAAAACGAGATTATAACTCGAAAATAATTATGAAATCTAAAAGAAACACAAAAAAAGGCAAAAAATAGGGTCGTTCAATGATTTAATTTAAGTTTAGAGATTACGGTGGGTACGTACAAGATAGATTTTGTCGGGAAAAAGGCATATAAAGTAGTAAAACGTTAGAAAGTTGTCTAAGGGTAGAAAAACAGAAAATTAAACGAAACGAGGATTTTTGAACAGACTACAAAACGTAAGGAACAGACTACAAAACGGAAAACTGAATATCTTGAGTATACAGCATGAACAAGTGCATGATATTCAGTCAAAGGGTGTACTTTTATTAGAGGTGCGCTTCTATTTGAGAGTGCGCTTCTATTAGAGTATTTACGGTAGGTTATTCTTTCGAATAGCAGATAAATTTCTATTTCAGCGGCGGTCGGCTTCTCAATTGTTGTGAAACGGGTAAAAGCGGCTCATCAAATTGCTCCAGAAGGCAAAAAATAAGTTGAATAAATTGTTTTTATAAATGGATTCTTTCAAATACTTTTTATTTGCCTTGTTGCATGTTTTTATGTAAAGAGTCACAGGGTGAAAGTGAAAGAGAATGAAAAAGTGACATTTTCTTAAGTTTCTTGACAAATTCTCTTCAACAATCATTCGGGAATGTGAAATTTTGTGGTGGTCCGAGATTTTTGGGATCAACTTTCCGGCCAAATGGATGTTTCCATGTATTGCAGTTATCCGTCTTGCAGCAAATCGCTTTCGTCCCATCGAAGTCGAAAACTTTATCGAATACCTAAAAAAACCAGCAAAAACCATTAGTCAGGCCATAATGTCATTGGGTTAAACGATCAAAAAACTTTCACTGTCAGCTTTGACATTGTCAGCTTTGACACTGACAGCTTTGACACTGACAAAGATTCAAGCTCTACGCTTTGCTATTTACCTTGCATCCCTTAAAGCATCCATAATCGACACCACCAGACACCTCTGATATCATAGCTGCACAAAAAGAGTCACTCTCAGAATCGGCACAGCATTTATCCCATGGAGCATCCATAGGACCAGAATACTAAAGAATACAAGATTTTTCAATAGAAAAGCTATCCTTTTTCACAATTAGACTACTCTGGGTAATCTAAGAGTGAGACAAGTACCACAAGTCCAACAAGTTTTCTAAAAAGTGAATAACTTGGAAAGGTTTTGCAAAAAAACTGAAACTTGCGAAACCTGTGAAACTTGCGAATAAACTTAAAAAATTAATTGAGCTGACAAAAACTAAGGGAAAAACTAAGGTACCTTCAAAATTAGTTAGATTTTACAAAAACGCAAAGAAAATATTAGGTACATGCATAAGAAATGCGGATTTCAACATTTTCATAAATTTTCAACGATAGAAACCTGATATCGATGAATGTTATAAACTATTTGAAAGTTGTAAATCTCCTCTACAAAATAGGCTAAAACGTGTTTCAATTGATCGAACCATTGAAGAAATTTCGAGGGCGAAATGCGAGTGACCAAAACAGGGCACTTTTTGAAAACCTCACTTTCACGAGAGTTCGGTTTTGACTATATAGTGGAAAATGCCCTAAAATGTCAATAAAATCGCGCTAAAATATCATTCAAAATAATGGAGAGTTGGGATCATTTCATGGGAAAACTTTGTTTTTACAATAATTTTTCTTTTTTATGAAAAAGCCGGTTCTTTTGACAATTTTGAGGGTTTTGAACTTACGCTCTATCTAAATTTCTGTAAATGTATTTCCGTTAGACTTTTTTAATGAATTGATATATAGTTATCCTTTTTTTTAAATCTTCAATTTTGAGAAGCTAACTCTATTTTGACCACACTAAACTTGTCCCTAAAGTGACTCGATTCCTTTTTTGGTCACTCGCATTTCGCCCTCGAAATTTCTTCAATGGTTCGATCAATTGAAACACGTTTTAGCCTATTTTGCAGAGGAGATTTGCAACTTTCAAATGGTTTATAAAATTCAGCGATATCAGGTTTCTATCGTTGAAAATTTATGAATGATTTATGAAATGTTGAAATCCGCATTTCTTCGATATTTTAAGCAAGAAGGAGAGCTTAGCAAAGTCCACGGGAAGTGAAAGAGCCTCGACGGCGGTGATCGTTTTAAATCACTGTTGTTTTGTTGATTGTTAAAGATGCATGTACCAAATCCTTACCCTTTCCCAGCATTGAAGCGAAATCACCACTGGAATTAAGGAAAAGACAATGATTGTAAGAAAACGAAGCATGTTTATTTAAAGAATTTTTTAATTCTTTAAAAATTTCAAACTTATAAACACTTTTTTTTTGCTATCAAGCACATTTTTCAATAGAAATTTCAATAGAAAAAGGAATCAAATTCAAAGAAACAATTGCGGAAAATTGAAATTAAGGTGACGAATCAAAACAACATTTTGAAGTCAACATTTAAACAAAATTTTATTTTTTTTTGAATTGAAAAACTTTTAAACCAGAATTTGACTTTTTTTTGGCAAAAAAACATCTTTATATGAAATTTTCAGCCATAAATTTTATGTAAACAATGAAAATTAAGGTGACAAATCGAAAAAGAATTTGAGGAAACGAAATTTTTGTTTTCTCAGAGAATTTCTTATAAAATGACCATAAAATCAGAAAGTTTCAAAGAAATTTTCATTTTCACACAATGAAACTTCTCACTTCCCTTTTGCTGACAGTATTTTTTGCTATTTCGATAAGTTGGCCGCTTTTCGCTGGGATGGTGAGTTTTGTCAAACTGTTAGTTCTGTTAGTTCTGTTAGTTCTGTTAGTTCTTTTAGCTCTGTTAGTTCTGTTAGTTCTGTTAGTTCTGTTAATTTCATCCTGTTCAGTTTGTTAAAATAAAAACAATTATGATTTAGTGTCATCCTGAAAAAAAAGACGCTTGTCCTCCTGGTTTCTCTTGTCACCCAGACGTTTTGTGTTGGCAGGAACCTTGTCCCACTCTGCACCATTGTGTGAAATTGGACTGGGAACTGAACTCGACGATGAGCGATTCCGATGTCATTGAAGATAAGACAATTCTTGTATAAGTGTGTGATTTCTTGATGTTAATGAAGGGAGTTGATCAGAAGTTTATTTTTTTGTTCTGAAGTTTAACAATGCATTGAAACAGACGAACTATTGGGTAATCCTTTGAAAAAGGGATTAAAACAATGAATTTGAGATTAGAACAATGAATGAACAAGAAAAATGAGTGAACAATCAATGAACAATCAATGAACAATCAATGAAAAACAAAAATAAAACAAATTAACGACTCTCAAATGTTTCTAAATGCTTTTCAAAGAATAGTTATTGCCTAAAAAGCTTGATGTATCGAAAACTGGATTTTACATTTTAAAAACACTGATTTTTGAGCTCTTCGAGCGGACAATCGAGGAAATGACCCAAATCATTTCTACTTGAAACGGGAACACCCATGTAGTTGATTGTATTGTTTATGGAGTTGATTGTAAATCCATTTAGTTACACCAAATGTGTTTCTTTCTCAGCGATCTCTTTTCTAAAAGACACCTATTTTCAAATGCTATCATAACCAAATTATAATTTCTAAAAACTTTTCATTCGATAGGCTAGAAAATATTTTGATACTAATAAAGTTGGAGAGGGGGGCACTTTTTTTTCTTCAAATTCACTTTTTCTGGGGTAGTTTTATGCGTAGATTCCGAAAAACACAATGAAAGCTTGGGAAAATACGTTTTAAGTCAAGTTTCGACACTCTAAAGTGCGCGCTTATACAGTGTGATGAGAGGGATATACATAAGGAAGTGGTCTAAAAATGGTCGCTCAAAACATTTTTTGAAGCCCAAAACATTTTTTCTGGCACAATTTAACCTACTGATTACGTTCTTGATCAAATTAGAGCAAAATAAGTTTTTTTTTTTTCAAATTTTGACCATGTGGTCCCCCACATGAGCCAAATCGGTCTAAATCTCCAAAATTTTTTTCAATTTTTTTGCCTCTACCAGTCAATTTAAGTTTAAGAAAATGAATGTTTAGTGGTTAAAAATGGTTTTGGCTCTGGTTTTGACCTTGAAAAGTGCTCGAAAAGTCGATAGCTTGGGCTCCACATAAGTACACTGTACAGAGTGTTCCAAAGAGTTCAGCGCGATTTTTCCCAGAATTTCTAGTGGCTCCTGGTGGTTGTTGTGGTGCCAAAGTGAATCTTTTGGGTGGGTAAATTTTTGATATTTTTTACTTTTTCCCGCCTTCTTGACTTCCTATGTATGAAATTTCTGAGCCACCATAATCCATCATAATCATAGTACCCCTCCTCCTCTACATCAGCGCGGAATAAGGCAAAAAATTGTTTTCTATAGGATTTTTACATTTTAATAGCCATCCAACTTAGAGAAATGTGCTGTGGTGAAAAAATGGTGAAAAAATTATCAAAATTCGTCTTGTAGATTTTTTTAAAATCGCATTTTATCAAAAAAAATCGGTTTTACACAGCAACGGCCAAACTCACTTGAATTTAGCCCTCCATTACTCGATGATAACAAAAAATTGGGAAAGGCCAGGGAGTAGACATTGTCAAAATGTTTTCTGCGGCCATTTTGAGAACAAAATCGTATTAATTGATCAACTCACAAAAAAGTTATAACAGTTTGAAGACAAAAATGACGTTTGACGACTTTCTGCCCGCTAAAACGTGGATAATACCGTAACCCTTTCTATGGCGGAAAAAAAGCTACTTAAAGGGCGCTTGCAAAGAATTTTTTCCAGTACATTTTTCTTCTTTTTACGAGCTTTCTTTATCATTTTCATGTCATAATAATTGTTTGTTTTTTTCAGATATTAGATTGGTGAATTGAAAACTGCGGGAAAGAGGAATCCACAAATTGCCTGTAAAATGGGCAATTTGCCTCTTATAAAATAAACTAAAATTTATTCAACATAATCAATTCATTCCAAATAATCTCCATTATTATTGACGACTTCTGCCCATTTTACAGGCAATTTGCGGATTCCTCTTTCGTAGTAGGATTTTGGTTTGTGTGTGAGACAAGTGTGAGACTCAAAAATGGAGGACTGGAGAGGTCTTGTTGTCCCAGTTTGAGCACTTTCTTCAAAAGAAACCCATTTTGGTGTCAATAGAAAAGTGGTAGAGAAGCAAAAATTAGGCTTATAGCCAAATTTCCAAAAAGATACACTTAGTAATTTCGCTTAAAATGCAAGTTTTATGAAAATTCGTAAATTTGGCATATCTTGAAAACCAGTTTTTGAATCGTTCTGAAAATTTGGATAGATGATTAATTTTTTATTCTCTACAACTTTTCCATTGACACAAAAATGGGTTTCTTTTGAAGAAAGTGCTCAAACTGTGACGTATGACAATAGCCGGCAGTTTTCAATTCACCAACCCAATACATCATTAATGACCGGATCAATCGACTCAAGCAAAAATATGGATTTCACGAGCTTCTGTTTTTTATGTGGTTGTGGTTTAAGCGTGAAAGTTTAGTTTTTACTCGAACCTGACGAGGAATATCAGATCAGAAGTGATCAGAAGTTTAGATCAGAAGTGTGTAAAGGTAGTACGTAAAAATCTACTTAATAATTTTTTTTATAATGATATCCAGATAGCGTGAAAAAACTTGGATTTTGAAAATCCTTCTACTCGAAAAAAAGTTATTAAGACAAAGATGTTTTTAATGGAAGCCGTGAAGTTAATGCCTCAAACGAGTTGTAACACGTGCAGAAGAAAATGCCATACATTATGAATATGAAAAGAAAATATCATGTTTGCCTTTTGTTTGTAAATTTACGAAATTGTTTTTTGGTGATGTTGAAACCAAAATAGATATGTTGTTTGAATAAACCGGCATTTATCCCTAATCTTATCAATTATCTTTCATTTTCAGCAACAAAATAAGATTCTTTCTGTTCTTTCTCTTGGAAACTCTTTTAGAAATTGAGCCTGTTGCTCGAACTTTTCATTTTTTGTCTGAAAACGTGTGATCTGTTAAGTGGATCAACGGAAAAGTGAGAGAAAATATGGAAATCCGATTAAAAACATCATTCGATATGATCCAAAAACGGGTAGTTGAACAATTTTCCTTTGAATCAATAGCAAATATTTATTGTCTATAATATGAGAAAGCTTGAATCCTGGGCGTTTTTTGTTTTATTCGTTTGTTCTAGTGCTATTGAAAATGGAACAAGTCACGAAAATGGGAGCACGTATCAAGTGAGTGAGCACTTATTGAGCAAAAAGGTTAAATCGCATTTGTTTGAGAAGGTAAAACTCGAAGCAATGTAAAATTTACATTTGTAAAGCCAGCACTAGCATAGCAAAGCCAGCACTACCAGAACAAAGCCAGCAATAGCATAGCAAAGCCAGCAATAGTATAGCAAAGCCAGCAATAGCATAGCAAAGTAATAGTTGATCTTGATCATCAGCCTTGAAAGTAATTGATAACCAGAAAATCCTAGAATTCTAAGCTTTCGGTTGAAAATTGGCTTTGAGGCTTGAAATCCTTGATTTGAGCATCAAATCTACTAAAATTTTTATTTTTTAAAAAAAAACTTCCCCCCCCCCCCCCCTTCCCCCCCCCCCTTTCCCCTCTTTTTTCCTTTATTTTTTTTTCCCCCTTTTTCCCCCCCTTTGTTGTTTTTTTAAAGTTTTTAAAACCCTAAAATTTTAAACCTTAAAACCAGGGGGTTCGAGGCCCGAAGGCGCCCTCCTTCCCCTATTTTTTTTTTTTTTCCCCCCCCCCCTCCCTCCCCTTTCTCCTGTAAATCTATTTTGTGAATCTATTTTGTCTATTATCATTGCCTTAATTTTTTTCTCTACTCCCAATTCCAGATCTTATCCTTTGACTTCCCAGCTATTGAAACCCCATTTCTGGTGGCGTCATGGTTGATCTTGGCGAGTGCAGCAAAAATGGGTTTGTCTCTCGAGTTTGAATGCGATTTTGAGCCTTTTAAAACTTTAGCATTTCACTCAAAATATTTCCCTGATAGTTCTCTTCTCGTTGTTGTTGGTTTCATTCTCGGATGGGTGTTTTATAATGGTTTTTCGGATTGAAGAAAACTAAGCAAATCAATTTCAGGCTTCACGTGGATTAAAGTACAATACTACGAGTTGGAATCGAGTTATTTCTTTCATTTCCTTCTCCCGCCGATCATTTTCGATGCTGGTTTGCTTAAGATGAGAAGAATGAAGAAAAGATGAAAATTCAGGGTATTTCATGCCAAATCGTGCCCTATTCGAGAATTTTGGCTCAGTGCTGCTTTTTGCAGTGGTCGGAACAGTTTGGAATACAATGGCTATAGGTAAATGGAGTACATTTGATGCAATAAGAAAGGAAATGATTTAGTTGACTTTTTCCTAATTAAAAATGTTTATCATTCAGGTAGTGCTCTTTATTTTCTCTCTCTGTATGAATGGTTCTCTGTTTCTTTCGAAATCTTCGAAGTGCTCACTTTTGCTTCTCTGATCTCAGCGGTTGATCCAGTGGCTGTAATTGCGGGTTTGTTTTTGGATTTTCATGGGATGTCTAGGTGGGATAAGCCTGCGGGCAACCTGTGGGCAAGCTAAGTAAGGTCAGACAAGCTAGATGTCAGATCAGGACCTGGCTTTGAATCTTGAACTGAAGTCTGGTCTTTCCTGGCCTAGCCTGGCCCAGAAAATTGTCTACAGAACTACCCTATCTAGGTTCTAAACCTGTTAAATCTCATTTGTTGCTCCACACTCATACCAGTCGTATTCAGTTTTCGAAGAAGTCCACGTAAACGAATTTCTTTTCATCAACGTCTTTGGAGAAGCTCTATTCAATGATGCAGTTTCAGTTGTTCTCTACAAAATGTTTAGAAACTTTTACGATATCGGATCAGAAAGTGTTCAAGTGGGTTAAGAATCTTAAACTGTACAGGCAAAAGTTTCAGATTGTCGACTACGGGAAAGGGATGGTTTCCTTTTTCGCGATTTCTTTAGGTGGAACAGCTGTGGGGATCATTTTCGCGTTCGCTGTTAGCCTTATCACAAAGTCAGTGCTGTGCAAGTGATAGCTTTAGCAATTGA